GTTTTTCTTGAATTAGTTTTGCCAAGTGGGATAAACAGAAGTTTGGAAAGAACATCAAATAGGGAGACTCATCTGTATAGTCCTAGGCCCTAAACTTTAGTAAGATGCTCTTAGTGTTTGGAAAATAATATCCAGTTTGTTCTTAAGGAGACAGACAACTGATTAGAAAAATCTTCTCTTGGCCACCTCCCCAAATTCCAACAACTTTTTTAAGAGGCTGAGATTAAAAAAAAATAATAATAATAAAAATTCCCAGCCTGATAAGGCCCTGTCAATCTAAGTAGTTGTGTTACAGCAGACATTGTTGGTGACCCACTCAACATCCATCTCCCTTCATCCTTGCTGACAAAGTCATACTTTTGTTAGGTAGCCCCACGTACTATATGTTACAGAGACTGGCTTAAGTCAGTCATGGTAACAACTTTGCCCATGGAGATGTTTGGTTGAGGTGTTTGCATATGGCCCAATTTTGGCAAATGATAATGGAAGACAAGTCATCTGGTCAGCTTTGGGGAGACTAGTTAGGATTGTGGTCCTCTTTCCTTTATTTGTGTTCGCAGAGATAGTATCTCAAAGGTCTACTCAAATCTCTTGATCTTGTCATGGTGGGGAACACAGACTCATTCCCGCCTTGACTCAGTCACAGCCACTCCACAGGTAACTGAGTCAACGAGGGCTGGATAGAACAGCAAGCACCTGGGCAGGTATTCCTTCAAACAATGTTATTTAAAGGTTTAATTTCCATGTAGTGGAGTTGGGGAGAAAGAGATTTTTTTATCAATACTTTGTTTACTAGAAACAAATTAACTTCACTTAATTTTCACTAAGTGAAAGAGAGTCAATATTATGAGAACATCAGCCAGGCAGTTCATTGTTCCTGTAGTTCTCCTTCCTTTTCTATTTCACTTGGAATTTTGGGAAACAGAGAAGTTCCTCAGAGGCACAGTAAAGGCTTACGAAGTGGGTAACACAAAAGATCACACTTATCAGCTCCACAGCACTGCTTATTAGTTAGTTTTCAAATCTCTAAGGATTTTCATCTTAGGGTTACTGCTCACGGAGGCCACAGACAAATTCACTAGCAATCTAGGTCTGCTTTAGATAGTTCTGTTGCTCTGTTTTTTCAATTTCCCCTCAAGGGCAGTAATTTGAAAGTGGTCGATTTACATTTTGACAATTTGTTCCAGTGATAAGCATCACTACAGATCAGCATTCCACAGTAACCAGTCGCCCATCCTCTAATCCAGTCTGAGTCACAGATTAAATATAAGATAAACATTGAGAGAGTAGAATACAAAAGTGCTGTGACGCACAAAGGAGGGGAAAGAAATCAGTGTCTTTGTGGCTGGTTAGAAGGTGGTTTGTATACTGGGGAAAAGCATGGGTTTGATAGCCAGTGAGCAGGTGCAGCTACATTATTTGCAGTGCCCAACATGAAAATGTGGAGCCCCTTGCCGCACAATTATGATGCTCAAGGCAGCAGCAGTAGAACCAAGTGCTTGATTCATGGGCAGGTGGCACATGCATAAGATGATCCTGCTAGAAGAGTTTAGGTTCAAATCTCACTCCTGTACCCCAAGGCTTCCTGGCTTTAGGCAAGTCACCCTCTCTGAGTCTCACTTTTTTCATCTGTAAAATAGTGATCATTGCACCTCCCTTGGAGAGCTGGAATGAAAGTGACATGAAAAGCACTTGACAAATGATAGGTTCATATTCCTCTTAGTTTGTGTTGTGGGTTCTTTTTCTCAGCTGTTCTCTAGGCATCCATCCGTCTTTGACCTTCTATTCTCATTATCCATCTTCTTTCCAGTATCTTTCAAAAGGGTGTTAGACTTTGTAAGTAAGGATGAAGGCTATTAGAACCTACGGCTCAGTCGTGTCCAACTCTTTGCGACCCCATGGACTGTAGCCTACCAGGCTCCCCTGTCCATGGGATTTTCCAGACAAGCATACTGGAGGGATTGCCATTTCCTTCTCCATGGGATCTTCCCCACCCAGGGATCGAACCCCGGTCTCCAGCATTGCAGGGAGACGCTTTACCTTCTGAGCCACCAAGGAAGCCCTGAAGGGGATTGGAGTGAGCATTATAAAATGGCCTGTAGCTCTTCGTTTGTGACCTACGGAAGTGAAAATTATATACGGTTCAACCTAACAGGAACTCCTCAGCATGACTATGAATGGTATTGTCCTTAGAGCCGGGGAACTCAGACACTTTCTTTGCACCCACCTTGTGGGGAGCAGGTACCTCACCTTTCCCAACCTAATAAGGAGTCCTGGAGGCAAGTCCTGCGCTAGCCAACACTCAACAAGGAGCCCCGTATTCCCTGCTGACATGGCCCTCAGGTGGCTTCCAGGAGCCTCTTCCTTCTCCTCACAGGCTGGGCATGAAGGGTGAACCTGAGAGACCTCCATCGGTTAGGGCAAGTGGGCGGAGCTTGCACAGACCCGGGGCGGGGGCAGGCAGAGCAGTTGGCACGCATGCGCACAATATCCTAACGGCTCCGCCTGAACCCGCGTGGGAGGCGGAGGAAGCAGGCCGGCATGTGGGTCCTTGTTTGTGCTCTTGCCAGACTCCTCTGCCCTCTCTCCTCTTCCTTTTAATTGTAGACACGCTTCTCCCTTACCTCCTCACAGCCACTTATGATTTCCCCAAATCTCCTGGACATTTGTAAAAAAAAAACAAAAAAAAACTCCGTGACTTTCTATACAGTGCTGTCTGTCTCAAATCTTTCTTTTCTCCACTTCATAAAATTCTACTAGTCGTTTAAAGAACCACTTATATGTCAACTCCTGTGTTAGTCATCCCTGGCAATCCTCTCTTCCATCCCAACCCTCACCCTCAGGCATGTAACTGCTCTGTGTGTGTGTCTTACCCACTATGATCTCATAACACCCCTGAACACACATTACACTGTTGTGACTGCTCTTTTGCCCCTAGACCGTGCGGGAGCTCTTCTGGGGCAGAAAACGTGCTTTTTCATTGCTTATTCCCAGTGCCCACCCCGCTCCCTAAGCTTACTCAGTAGACAGTCAATAAATCTTTCATTGTGATGTCATCAAAACTACCGGTCCCCAGTGACCATAAGCAAATTACTGAATCTCAGTTTTCCTCTTCTTTGAAATAGAAATTAACACTACAACCTTCTTCCGTGGTGCTAAGGATTAAATAGTATAATACATTCAAAGTACTTCAACACAATGATAAACAATAACTCAATAAAGGTATGAACTCAATAAAAGGTAACCATAATTATCTCCTATATTCTGATTCTTGATAATGTGTGAAATCGCTCAGTCATGTCCGACTCTTTGCGACCACATGGACTGTAGCCTACCAGGCTCCTCTGTCCATGGGGTTCTCCAGGCAAGAATACTAGAGTGGGTTACCATTCCCTTCTCAAGGAAGTAAATAATCCTTTCAAGCCAGCAAGGTGGATCCTTTGAAACTGTATTTACTACCACGATCTTATTAAAAATGTGAGAAAATTGGTTTTAAAAATTGCTTTAGGTTAAAGCAAGTGATGCTTAAAATTGTTTATTAAAAAAATACCAAGTAATATTTTTTTTAACAAATCCATATTATTAGGTATCTCTTGGCACCCTATACTAAATGGGTAAGAAAAATACTATATTACAATCTGTCTTGAGAAGTAGCCATAATATGCTTCTATGTCAACTAAATACCGAGAAATAAGGAAGCATAAAGTGTATTTTTATATCTACCTCTTTAAGAACTTTGTATACATATATATAATAACTGTTAATCTGTTTTTATCATTACACATTTAAGTATTCCTACAAAAATGCTTTAAGTATACATATATACTTCCCATTAAGTTTTTTTTTTGCAACACGGAAGAGTTTCAAGAAAGTATGGTAATAGAAACAAAGCAATCACTCTGTGTAGCTGTATGTGTCACATCCAGTGTATGACTTGTTGCCCTGAATTGGGGACTTTTGTCCGTTAACATATTGTGAAATATTAAATGAAGCTACTGATACCTGCTTTTTTGTAACTCTAAATCCCTGGTGGCTCAGACTGCAAAAGCATCTGCCTGCAATGCGGGAGACCCGGGTTCCATCCCTGGATTGGGAAGATTCCCTGGAGAAGGAAATGGCAACCCACTCCAGTACTCTTGCCTGGAAAATCCTATGGATGGAGGAGCCTGGTGGGCTACAGTCCATGGGGTCGCAAAGAGTCCGACAAGACTGAGTGACTTCAACTTTCACTTTCAAATCCTATTTTTATTAAGGGGGGGCGGGGACAAGAAAATGGAATGTGATCTAAGTTTGCAGGGAAAATTAAAAGGTGGATTTTATTTATTTGAATCATATTGCTCATATAGAATGGCTATAATAAACTTTGCCTACTTTGGAAAACAACTTAATGAGCTCAGTTTTTGTTCTCCAGGCTAGTGCAAATAAAAGGATATTCCATAAAGCAGGTAAGGCAAGTAACTGTTTGGCCAGTTACAAAATCAGACACTTTTCTGCAAGTTATTCATGCTATTAATATGCTATTAACTGTTATAGCTTACAGTCTCAGTTGTGGGAGGTTACAAGCCTATCTGTCTACAAGGGCTAACTGTGCTATTTTTCACAATAACACATCCCATTGCACTTATTCACAATAATACATCCCCCATTGCACTCTGAAAAGTAAGAGCTGCTAATTTTAAAACTTAGGACAGCTGAAGATATCTGAGATTGAGAATGAATAAGTTATAGGAGAGGTGGAGATACTGATAGCAAACTTAGGAAGATTTCAAAGGCACACAACGAAATTTGGTAAATCTCATGTATTCTAGGTGGTAGGGCTGAAAAATCAGTGTTACCCTTACAATGGCACTGTAGTAAACAACATCACTGTAGTAAAGTAGCTTTTCTTTGAGTGGTCTCTCGTACTTAAAAGTAGAATAAATGGAATACCATCTTGACTGTCGCCATAGTAAGGCACAGATATCTGACTTCTCCATCGGAGGCCAGAGGGGGAAGAAACCTTATGGAAAGAGATGGCGGAGTTTGGCATTGAGTTCTCTCTCCTTGCTTAAAAGATCTAGGCTGTGCTTTTTGAAAGCTTCGGACTGCAGCCTGAGTTCATCATAGGCAGCCTGGATGCCATCCACCCTGCGCTGAAGCTCCCGGACTCGCAAGTTGCTGTTCACAGCCACGGCCTCTTGCTCAAAGCGCTCAAGTGCGTGCCTCCTGGCCATGTCGGCCATCTCCAGCTTCTCCTCCAGCTGGCGGATCTCCGCTTGCTTGTTCTGAAGCACCTTGCCCCTCTCCATGGACAGCTGCAGCAGCTCCTCTTTCTCCCGAGTGACGGTCTGCAGCCGGGCCTGCAGCTCCTGGTTCCGCTGGCTGTGCGCCTGCTCGGCCTTGGCCGTCTGCCGCAGGGCCTCCTGCTGCTGCTCCTGGAGGCTCTGCAGCTGCGAGCGCAGCCGCTCCGTCTCCTCGGTGTGGGCGCAGGCCTGCCGGTTCTGCAGCTCCAGCAGCTCTTGCTCTCGGGCCTGGGCCTGGCAGACATCCTGGGCGTACTTCCGTTGCAGGGTCTCCAGCTCCGTGGCTAGGGCCTTGCTCCGGGCTGTGAGCAGCACCACTTTGGCCTCCTGGGCCTTCAGCGCTGGGCTGAAGAGCTGGTCATTCTCTAGCCTCAGCTTCTCGTTCTCCTCTCGCAGCTTGGCGTTCTGCCTTTTGTGTTCATCCTTGAAGCGGATCATCAACTCGTGGTTGGCAGCCAGGGTCATAAAGCGTTTCTCCAGCTTCTGGGCCTGCTGGTTCTTGGCCTTCAGCTCCTCAGCCTCCAGCAGCCTCTTCTCCTCCAGCTCGCTGTTGAGCAGTTCCAGGGTCTGGCAGCGCTCCAGGGCCTCGTCGGACCTCCGCTTCAGGATGCAGATGAGCTGGGACTGCTCCTGGATGCGGGAACACAGCATCGCCCGCTCACTCTTGTCCTCCTCGGACAGCCCCCGGAGGTTCGCCAAGGCTTCCCTCAGACCATCCAGCTCTTTAAAGTCCATCTCTTCTTCCTGGTCTTCCAGTTTTTTGGTTTGCTTATCTAAGGGTTCTTCAGAGGGTGGGGTGTCCATCCTGGGATCTGACTCTTCCTGAGGCATTGGCACGCTCCTCTACTGACTGCAGAGCTGACTGCACAGCACCCCACGTTCCAGATTTCAAAAGCCACGGTGTTGCTAGGGACTCCTGGCAATCTCCAGCAGTTGCTTGTGCACCAGTAAGGAGCCCTGTGATTGGTGGACCGGTCTTCAGATTGTTGTGGAGTAACAACAGGAGGGAGTCCAGAGCCAATCAGATCAGGTTATGCTTGCCTTTCTAGCCAATCACAGCCCTCCGCTAGCAGCCCAGGATCTGGCATGTACTACACAGAGATGCCAACTCCACTTGATTTCCAGCCAGCATCAGGGGAAGAAACCTGACTCCACCTAATCTCTTGTGGGAGTAAACAAATCAAGCAGTGGTGACATAGTCCTCCTCCCTGTCCCCACTTCAGTGGTCATGAGAATAAAGTCCTCTCCGTGGAAACCGTTGGCTCTGTAAAGAAATTTGTAATCAATAAATACAAAATAGCAGAAGGACCCTGCGAACAAGGATCCTAAACGGCTGTGACTTTGTACCTGGAGTGATTAACCCAGCTTAGTCAAAGAACAAACCCCGGGGAAATGTCTCTTGTTCTTGAAGCACTGTGCCCAGCTGGGAATATATTCTATTAGCTAGCACTCCCCTTTTACCCATTAAAACAATAGGGTTACAGAGAAAAGCTTAATGGATAATATAGGTGTGATAAACATTAAGACACACACACACAAATTCAGATGAGGCTTACCTTATACACACCAAAGTCAGATTCAGATGTTTTATTCCCTAACCTAGCTATTGAAGTTTCCTTAGTTGGCCCTGTCTGTTGTCGTCCCCTCTGCCTGAAATGCTTTTTTCCCACCTTGTTGCTTTAGTCACCAAGTCTGCATTTTACACTCAGTTAAGAATCACCTCCTTCATGAAACCTTTCCTGGCCCCGTCTACATGTACGTACATGACCACTAACCACTTTTAGAACACTCTACCCTATTTGGACTTCTAACAGAGCATTTAAAAGCTTTATTGCACTCATAATTTATGCCCCTGCCTCTCACTATTAAACTCTGAGATCCCTAGGGGTAGGGACTGTGTCTGTTTTCATCCTTAATGACTAGATTAATGCCTTGGGGAGACTCAGATGTGTGTGTTGGATGGATGTTGAAGGCAAAAATCAAATGGAGAAATATATTCACTATAAATATGACAGACAATAGATATACATTTTTACAAAGAGCCCGTACAAATCAATAAAGCGTTAACATCTTAAAAGAGAAATGAACAATTAAATTCACAGATGAGGGGGATGAAATGGCTAAGAATCAAACCCCATCAGTGACCCAATAAATGTCAGTTATAAATAGATAACACTTCATCTATCAAATTAGTCAGTAAGTTTCCCCTTATTTTTAAAACAATCCAGGACTGATAAGGGTATAGTGAAATAGGTATTCTTCTACTGTGATCCAAGTTAATTGATGGCATGTATAGCGAACTTAAGACATCTTTATGCCTTTTGAACTAATGATTGTCCTTCTGGGGACTTCTTTGTTTAGGAAGAAATAGCCTGAAAAAAAAAGTTTTTTTCAAAGTATGGTTCATAACAACTAAAAGTTGGAGACCTAAATGTCCAAAAAAGAGAAAATGTTCAGAAAATTATGATATCCTCATATATAATAAAATATTATGTAGACATTAAACATTAGCATGTTTATAGGTAATTTAATGGCATGGAAATGCTTGTGCTTGAAAGATAATTGAAAAAAGCAAGATAAAAAAGTTAAAATTTAGAATGATCTGAATGATGTGGAAACTTAAGCAGAGAGCAAAGAGCTAGCTATTCCTGTGACCACTATTTCTGGTGGTCAGACTTAAACTCTCAAGTCATGATGATAAGGAAAAAGTCTGGGGTGTTAACTTAGGTTGGATGGATTTTATAATGCTTCAGATTTCTTGTAGAGCAGAATAGATCTGAAGGAAGAGTCTGAGATTTTCCTTCTGGTCTCTGAGATAAGCTTTCTTGTTCCCAATCCTGACTCTTGTGTTTATGTAGAGAAAGCAAGAAAGCAAGGCTGAGGACTGGGGAAATCTCAACTAAAATTTTAGCAACAACTTAGATTGTAGGATATTTAGGGTTTATGAAAGTGAGATTTTTAAGATTTTTAAAAACATAAACCTATTTTAAATTTGCCTCTCACATCGCTTCTTCGCTTTTCCTTTAATTTCAAGCTTCACACACTGAAATAAAACTTGCAAGACCGAAGGAAGTGATGCTAAGGAACATTAATAAATTAGACACAGCACTCTTCTCAGAGGACTTGCAGTTCAGTAATAATGACCTTTGATTCCTCTCTGCCATGATTGTTTTCTTTTTTCTACCTTTGTCCCACCTACCTTTGATCCTGAAGGTATTCAGTATACTCCCTTCCAAGAGAGGTCCAAGTCACAAAGCTTGGCCAACGTTCTCCCTAGTGGTGGCCAGCAAGTCCCCCCGCCCCACCCCCACCTGCCTTCAAGTTTTATTATTTACAGAGTTATTCTATACACCCTACATGAAAGTGAAAGTGTTAGTTGGTCAGTCATGTCCAACTCTTTGTGACCCCATGGACTGTAGACCACCAGGCTCCTCTGTCCATGGAATTCTCCAGGCAAGAGTACTGGAGTGGGTTGCATTTCCTTCTCCAGGGGATCTTCCCAACCTAGGGATTGAACCCAGGTCTCCTGCATTGCAGGCAGATTCTTTTCCATCTGAGCCACTGGGGAAGCCCTATATACCCTACATAATACTAGGCATTTGTACATCTTTCTTCATGTAATTCTAACAATATTCTTGAAAGATAGGCATTTTGATCCACATTTCATAGTTGGCAGAGAACAAAGAAACTAAGACACAGAGAAATTAAGCAAATTGTCCCAAGTCACTCAGAGAGTAATAGAGACATAATTCACATACAGATCTTTTTGATACCAAAACTCACGGTCTTTAGTTCATCATTCATTCTGTTGTTTAATCATTCATTCATTCAATTCATATGCTGAGAAACTGTTATATCCAAGGTTTGCAGTCCTGGCTCTTAAGATGACTACAGTAAAATGATAGAGACAAATAATAGAAAAATGGCCATTCGGTGTTAATAACTGCTAACAGAATGATGGATAAGTTAGACACACTACTCTTCTCAAAGAATAAAAACAGGGGTGCAATGATCTGAAGTCTGATCCCACATCCTGACTGAAGTGCTAAATGTGGAGAGTGAGAATCTTCTTTTTTAGGGCTGAAGGAGAGGCAGTTCTTTAGGAACAAGTCAGCCAAAGAAGTGGAAGTAATGTGTGTGACTGGATCACATGGGTGGGAGCATTTGTTTTATAAAACAAGCTAGGGAAATTAGTGAATGAGTCTAGGAGTGGGTGGAGATGGGAGAGCAATCCCAAAATCAGAATGGGAAGAAGAGTACAAGAGAAGGCAAATGCTGAGGGGCTTTTAAACCTAGATGGTGAGTATGGATGAGAGAGGTGCAAAGAAGTCCACGTAACTTCCCTAGAAGTGAGCCCAGGCTAACAGTAATCATGCTTTGGTGGATGCCAAGGCCGTGGGACCAGGTCATGCAGTTCCCAGGAGCCTCATCACCTGTTTAGAAGCTGCAGCAGTCACGGAGGGTGTGGGAATGTTGGCTTCTCTGGGAAAAGCCAGCAGTGACTTTTCCAAATATTACTTCATTTTCAAAATAATGGAATTTGGAAGACTTTTCACCAGAGGGGGATACAAATTGCAATGGGTACCTAGCTCTTGATTTTTCCAGTGCCTGTCTATATAACACCCCATTCTTCTGAAAATGGATCCCTTCTCCCTGGCCACAGGGTGGACACATAACTCAGGTAGGACCAGTCACAAGAGCTTACCCTATCCTCTCCTGGCCACTGGGAGTGGTGCAGCGGGTGAGGACATGACCCAGGCTCGGCCAGTTTCTCCCAAAGTTCTCTCAAGCTGAACCTAGGAAAGAGGAGTGCTTTAGCTGAGAGCTTGTGATGTTGGAGCTGTTTGTGGTGCTATTTCCTACTCCCAAGGAAGTCAGGGGATTCCCTGGTGGTTCAGTGGTAAAAGCAACCGCCTGCAATGCAGGAGACGCGGGTTTGATCCCTGGGTTGGAAAGATCCCCTGGAGAAGGAAATGGCAACCCACTCTAATACTCTTGCCTGGGAAATCCCATGGACAGAGGAGCCTGGTGGGCTACAGTCACAGGGTTGCATGAGTCAGACATTACTTAGGGGTTCATCCACCACCACCAAGGAAGAAGGAGACAGTATTGGAGTTCCTGGGAACTCATGTTTCACCCATGAGTCCCTAAAGTCAAACATACTAACAAAGTGTCATACACTAACCCAGTGTATTTTGGCTTATTTCTGATTGGGTTTCTGAAAAAAGGAAAAGAGCCCTAAAACATGCAGTCCAAGGGAGCACCTCTAGTTTAAGAAAATGAAAAATTTTCAGCAGGGACTTTGCCAAAAATCCCACTGAATCAAAAGTCTGCCAACCTGAGTTCACTAAAGAATTCAGGTGGCCCACACTTTATAATGCATGAAAATCCCATTTAGCCTTTGCCTTACAGCCAGGTGAGATTAAAGATTTATATTTCCTTTTTTGGGAAAGAAAAAGTGACATGACTTCTCCCTGGGTGTCCTGAGGCAGTTGGAAGTTCTTCGGGTAGATGCAAGGATGGTTCTGTTGTCCACTCTGGTGTTTTGTAAATCTGGGAATAGGGGAGGCAGGCAGTCCTAGCCCCGGATGGGGAGATACTAGAAACGATCTCATTAGTGCTTCTGAGCTGGCTGGATGCTAGCAGATGGCTGAGAAGGTAACTGAAAGAAAAATGGGCTGAGAAAGTAGCTTGTAGTATGAAGTGACAGGGGCTGGAACAGGGTCTGTCCTTCTGCTCTGGTTCCAGGCCAACCTCAGAGGTGTGTCTCTAGTCACCTGGTCTTGCCCCTCTTGCAGTCAGAACAGGAAGAGGAAATACAACTAGATAAACAACCTCCTAAAAGACCTTGAGAGACAATGGGGCAAGGGTGTTGTTCTAGGTTAATTGCTTTTACTGGCCAGTGGGTCAAAGGTTCTAGCATTTGTTTGGGAGAAAAGGCAAGCACTGGAGCTGTTTTCAGTGGCATTTGTTAGATACTTATTTTAAGAGCTCATCTCCATCAAGGCTTCCCCTGCCTGCATGCATGCTTAGTTGTTCAGTCATGTCCAACTCTTTGAGCTCATGGGCTGCAGGCTCCTCTGTGATTTTTCAGGCAAGAATATTGGAGTGGGTTGCCATTTACCCCTCCAGGGGATCTTCCAGACCCAGGGATTGAACCCTGGGATTGAACTCCTGTATCTCCTGCACTGAAAGCAGATTCTTTAACTGCTGAGCCATCATCAGCTTGTTTTGAGAATGACAAGCTAGTGGAGTTCCAACAGGGAGTGATGATTTGTGTATTAAATGACCCAACAATGTCTTTATGGAAAACTTTAAGAATAAATGACAACTTACCTTTAAAGCTTTCAGCTACTTCTAAAAAATAAAACTTCTACTCTTAATAACATAGCTGAAGCTTTCAGTTTAGAGAAAATCAGGCCCAGAGTTGCAGCAAAGACTTTGGAGAAATATTAGCCCAGAAGTTCTTTAGCCTGGCTTGTGAATTTAGATTCTAGAATTCCTTCTTTAAAAGAAGTTTTTGAAAATGTTTATTTATTTATGTTTGGCTATGCTGGGTCTTCACTGCTGCCTGCCGGCTTTCTCTCCTTCTGCTGAGTGTGGGCTACTCTCTATTGCAGGGTGCAGGCTTCTCATTTCAGTAGTTTCTCTTGTTGCAGAGCATGGTTCTAAGGCGCATGGGCTCAGTAGTTGTGGCACACATGCTTAGTTGCCCCGTGGCATGTGGCATCTTCCCAGACCTGTGTTCCCTGCGTTGGCAGGCAGACTCTTAAGCACTAGACCACCAGGGAAGTCCTGGACTTTAAGATTCCTAACATAAAGTATTTCATTTAAAATAAGAAGTAAGATTACTTTGACAATACCATTAAATCATATAATAATTTATTCTAAGGGTTTTTACAAAATACTTTATGAAAATTATACATACATAGGAAGGACAGTATAATTTAACAATTTACATTCTAATTAAAACTTTGTCGCAAATCATGTTTGTGACCACTCTCATGCTGCTTCATATAGTAGAGTTGTAAGAAAAACAGAATCTTATATATGCAAAGTTTTTGTTCTTTGTTTTATATATGGGTACCCTATTATAAAATACAGGCTTGAAACTTAGGAGAAAATTAAGCCAAAAACTTAATTTCACCTATGGCCAGTGGGTGGCACCAAAGCACATAAGAGTTTAACATTGGGAAAAGGGAACACTTTTCAAAGCAAAAATACATGCAGTAAATTCAGTCTCTTTGCCCTAACAAGGAATTCCATATTTCAGTAGTGACTCCAGAGTGAATAGTTTTCTTATGAACAAATTCTTTATTCATGATATTCTAATTTTTTTCCCCCCTGCTCATAGGAATATCTTTGAGTCATTCTTCTACAATCAACATTTTTTCAATTCCTGCAAGGGTTTTCAATGATCAAGTGGGAGGCCTTCCTAACCCTTTTCTGGTTTGAAACACATGATGGCAAACTGGAAACTTTTGCTTATTAACAACATTTAGTATTTTTTGCCAGCTTTTTCTTTGATGCAGCAGCAAATCTTTGATTTTCTCAGCTTTCTCAAACATCTTCTTTTAACGTTGCAGTCACAAATTAAGTTACACATTTTGTTATTATTTAAGTTTTTTAGTCTTTGTAACCAAAGAAGTATGTGCAGGTTGACTTTAACATGCTATGTAGCATTTGTTCCAGGCAACAGATGGAAGGTGAGGATCTCTGCCTACAAGATCAGACTCCACCTGTCTGGTGGTTTTCAGTGGAGGAGCCCGTGGACTTTGGCTTCACTTGGAAATCTTGGCAATCAACAGCATTCGGAGAGGCAGGATTGCTTCGATCCAAGTGTTGGGAGACTTCACCATCTTTTCCCAGAGAGCCACTTCCTCTGAAGTAGAGTCCATCCAATCCACTTCAGTACCATAGCTTTTACCTGACAAAAAAGGGAAGGAAGCTTTGCATTTAGAAACGAAGAGCTCATTGGGGAAAAACTGAGCCATTCCCTAATTATAATCGCCAATGGAGACAGCTAGGAAGAGTTTTAACATCACCAGTGGGGCTGGGACTCAACAGAAGAAAAGAACTGTTTAATCATATGAGATGTCTGATAATGGAACTCTGCACAATTGGGATTATTCTCATTACTCTCAGAGTAGTGACTTCTCTTCTTGTCCATTTAGAATGTAGATGAGAATCTGTCAGGTATATTATAGAACAGTAGGGAGGATTCCAGCATTGGGTTGAAAGCGACAGTAGGTGATCTCTAAGAAAGTGTAGTTACAGCTTTAGTGTCTAACAGACTCAATTTTGAATCTTGGCTCTGCCACTTATTAGCTCTGTTTCTTAATTTCTTGGAACATAAGTGTCTCTGGGCATAACATTATCAATAACTCGTAGAACTTCTGTGAGGATCGAATGCAATAATGCAAATAAAGCACTGGGTACAGTGACCAGTGCTCCATAAATGTTAGTTGCTATTATTATGCAAAGCACACATTTAGCCATGAAGGGCCATAAACTGTTTTTCAGGAAAGGGTAGTGATGAAGGCTTTTCTGGTTTCCCCCACAATAACTTAAGCTCTGTGTGGGCAAGCACAGCATCCTATTAGTCTTCATATCTAGAGTCCCTGGCACACAGCCTGGCATTCCTTCACTCATTCATTTCACTACACTTAACAGAAATAGAGTATCTGTTTTCATTAGGAAGAAGCAAACCAACCAACCTCTGGTGTCTCCAGAAGCATTAGACTCATGGAAAATTAAAAATGTAACACATGTTACCTGTTCCAAAGCCAATCCGAAGACCTCCCAAAAACTGGTTGGTTAATTTGTAATGGTCCCAGACAGTCAGCTCTACACAGGCTTCTGTCAGATCCTCAGGCCTGAACCCATCATAGACCATGGTGTGGTTGAAGACAGGGTTGGTGGTTTTCCCCACAGCTCTTGTCTTCTGGCGACTCTTCCTACTTGTATCTGGAAGGATGGTACTACAAAAGGAAACATTATTGTGAGAGCATTGGAGTAAGACAGCAAACTCTCTTGCTTTTAGTGTGCTTCAGCTGCTGAGGATTGGCAAGAGGAAATGGAAGGAAAAAGAACGTAGAGAGATGGTAATGGTGGGCATTCTGCTGGCAAGATTATGCACTAGAGTGGACCAGACTTGCTTTGAGGAAGTCCTGACTCTGCTACTTATTGGCTTTGTATTGTGGGAAATTGACTTAATATCTCAGACACTTGCTTCCTCATCTATTAAATGGGAATGGTGATGCCTACCTCATAAGGTTAATATTAGAATTACAGATTAAGCAAACAATTTAGTTCAGTACCTGCATTTAGCATTTACTATATAGCAACTGTTCGAGGATTCTTCTAAAATCTACTCCTGATTATCTGTAAGAGCCTAAGAAATTAGTCTTGTGCAGAATTGAAAAAGAAGCCTCTCCAATTCCCTAGATTTGACTTTGGGAATAAATTATATTACATATTTGTGATTATTTACATATAATTTATGGTAATAATTGAAATTAATTTACCCTACCATGCATCTTGTAAAGGCAAGAAGGGTTGGGCCTAGTGTTGGAATGGAAGATTGACCTGAGCTGAAAGGCTTACCAGTTGACATCTGTGAAGAACATGTATAGCGAAAATCCTAAATAATGTCATATAAACTTAAATAGCTATAATTGGTCTTCTGATAAAATCTATATAGATAAAATTAGTTAGAGAAAGTCAGGACAGCACAATAACATCTGTTTAGTTACTATTTTCTAGATGCTAGGCATTTACATTAAAACTGAGAAAAGGTTTTCAACTTAAAAACCCAAATTGTTTCAAGTTCTTAAGAGCTAATTATTAGTATGGATCTATTTATCAAAAAACTTCCAGATATTTACAGGCTGAGGCAAAAGGCTTTTTTGCAAATGGGCCACAATACAGATGTTCCACAAATGATACAAGGGGTGTGGCATCACCATTAGCCATTTCATAAGCCCTTTGATACTGAATATTGTCCTCACCAGGAGATGTACCTCCTAGAAGACATTATATATCTGAGTGTGTGGCCTCCGGTTTCCATTGTATATATTCCCTCTTAAACTAAATGGAGCCTTGCAGGGGGTTCATGTCAAAGATCCTTCTAGCTTGTGTCACCACTGTCTCAAGTTATTTCATTTATACTATGAATGATGAACTTCAGCATTACAGTTACAGAGAATTAAAACCAATTGGCAAAGGCCAGGCTATTGTGGAACTGAGGAAGGCAGAATTATCAATGCTGGTACCATTTAACAAAAGAATTTAGATGGCTGCCCCTTAGCAGTGGTAGATCGAGGCATTCCTTCACCCAGATGTGCACTTCTCCAGTTGTAGGAAGTTTTTTACCTATAACAGAAAGAGAGAGAAAATGAAATTCCACTGCCATTCCTCTCTTGGCAGTGCTGCCTCCGAAGATGCCAATATAAAAATGGTCTGGCACAGCAACGCGACTGAGTGCTTGATGATATGATCTTAAATGATTATATCTATTCTTAATGACCTCTTTCATAGTCTGGCTGTATTGAGCTCAAGTAACTCTATAAAAATAATTCATTGCAAGTACAGAATATTACATCATTGTTTCTGGGTCTTGCTTGGTTCAACAAGATCAATTATAGATATTAGGCATGTGAATCATCCATTTACAGTTATGTTCAAAACTACTCAGTGAGATGCATATACTTTTCAAATATGAATACCAGTATCAATCTGTGCTCATAGGAGGCATTTAAACAAATCTGAGTATGAAGTAACCAAAACAGGTACTGGCTTAGGTATAGTCACTCTTGTTAAGAGTAGTTACGCATTTTATAGGAGTATTGTATAGACATACACAAGAGCCAATATTATAGACAGATAATTGCTGAGAAATTGGCCTTAGTGGGAAGTCTCTATATAGGTTGGGTGCACATGAATGGAGGGAAAAAAGTGAAAGTGTTAATCTCTCAGTTGTGTCCGACTCTTTGCGACCCCATGTTTTTCTGGATGGGTGAACCCAATCTGTCAACAAATCAGTGTTTAATGAGCATCTATTATATGCTCAGCCCTGTGCTAGGAATGCTGTTGGATATACAAAGAATGCAAGAAGTCTATGTGCTTGGGAAATGTTTACAGGTAAGCTAGAGATAGAAACTCAATAAAAGCAGTAAAATGTAATATAGAATGAAATGCCAAGTTATTACTGTGATGTTCTAGAAGATGGTGTGATCAGTGAGGGTAAATGCATTCAGGAAAAGCTTTACGGAGGAGATGGGGTTTCATCTAAAGACTTGGACAGGTTTAGGAGACGAGGAAGCCATTCCAGGGAGGAGAAACTATTATAGGAGCAAAAACTCAGACAAGCTGGAGTCCATCACATGCGTGTCTCCAGCCCCTCCCCCAGCAAAAAATCATGGGGAAAATGGGAAATGAGACTAGCAGAATTTCTATGTATGTTGACCATAAATGATAGGATACAAATTATATAGAAAAGAATCTGTCTTTTAAAAAGATCCAGATGTAACAAGATGGCAGTTTGGGTGCCATGTGGCCTAAAGATACCTTTTGCTTGTCCTCACTCTCTCTTTTTTTTTTTTAGCTGAATTGGAATGCCTTTCTCTGTTTAATCACTACCCTCACCATCATTTCTGTCATCCCACTACCTTCAAGAAACGTTTATTTCTATTTATTTATCTATTTGACTGTGCTGGGTCTTAGATGCAGCGTTCGGGCTCTTTAGTTGTGCTGTGCAAACTTTTAGCTGATCACATGGGGCCTAGTTCCCCAAGGAGGATCGAACCCTGGCCCCCTGCACTGGGAGCACAGAAGCGTAGCCACTGGACCACCACGGATGTCCCTCATATGAATTCTCAAGGAGAGTAACTTAGGGAACTGTGTGGGAAATGAGAGAAGGGTTAGCACTCATTTCCTGACAGTCTCTTGCTCCTTAACTGTGCTGGAGACCCGAGGCTCTAACATCAAGGACGTAATGTCGTAATTTTGAAGAAAAAACTTCCTACCCTAATGAGACCTTGAGGGTAGAGGACAAATGAGCTCTAATTTCTTAGGGGCTTAATATGAATTTTTTTCATTCCCACCTGGGGGGGAAGAACTACCCCAGTTCCATTTGTATCAGAGCACTACAGAGGAAGGGCCATTTACACTGTGTAGACACAAACTTTGGGGACAGCGAGGCCAAAGTTAAAACAAGGGCTGTAAGCTGGGCTGAGAAAAAAATGAGAGTTTTTCTCAAAGAAACAGAAAAAATATAATGGTGGCTACCAGGAAAGGGACCCTGGAAGGAAGGGCAAGAGAAGAGTTGTGGTTTAATGGGTACAGAGTTCCAGACATACAAGATGAAAAAGTCCAGAGACATGCTTCACAGCATTGTAAAGATACTTAACACTGCTAAGGGGCTTCCCAGGAGGTACAGTGGTAAAGAATCTGCCTGTCAATGCAGGAGATGAGGGTTCAGTCTCTGAGTCAGGAAGATTGATCCCCCGGAGGAGGAGATGACAACCCACCCAGTGCTCTTGCCTGGAGAATCACGTGGACAGAGGAGTCTGGCGGAGTCCATGGGGTTGCAAAGAATCGAACACAAGTGAGCGAGCATGCAACAACCACAACTAATCGCACACTTAAACATGGTTAAGAAAAATTTTATGTTATGTGGGGTTTTATTGTATGTTATGTGTTTTGACCACAATTAAAGAAAATTTTCTAGTTTACAAGTGTGGGTTGACTCATTTGGACCCTTTCTAAGTTAGTAAGTTAATTTAGAGCTTCACTTTTGAAAATTAAAAAAAACCCATAGAACTCAAAGAAATCCTTGGAGAGGGGAAGGCTAAGGTAAGGCCATAAATCTGGACAGAAAATCAATACATACCAGGCATTGGCTCCGGGACATACTGGAGAGCCAACTTCATCTCGCCTCTGTTTTCTGCTTCAAGGGGAACTGGTGCTGTCTGGAAAATGAAGGCATGTCAGCAGGTGTGAGACACAAACCATTCACCATGTTTGTTGTGCTCTGTTACAGGGCCATATCTGCCTCATTTCTGAGGTTAGGTATCATTCATGAGTGCCCTGGAGTGAAATTTCCCTCCCCATCACAGATGGACTGTTGCTTTGATATCTGGGAAGGCTACACTGTGTATCCTGGAAAACTCTGCGGGGTACCCAGAACACATTTTAAGTCCTTCAGTTCAGAGAAATCAGAATGGCTTTCCTGGAGATGGGAAAGGTGTTCTGAAATGCTTAGATTTTTTTATAAAAACACATACATTTTTGTTAGTGATCCAACCAGCACATAAAACAACTTATCTGTATTTTCTTTCTTTAAAGGAGTAGGAAGAGCCGGGGTATGGGTGGGGGACAAATAATACATTTTCATAGCTGCATTAACCTAATTATTTTAGACCAGATGAGGAGATGCCTCTAAGAATACAAAAACTGGACAATCATTTTACAATGTATGCCCATGGCTGATTCAGGTCAATGTATGGTAAAAACCACCACAATATTGTAAAGTAATTAGCCTCCAATTAAAATAAATAAATATATTTTTAAAAATGTACATTTATTATAAAACAGTTAGTTTTACTTTCAAATTCTGGTCTTTTAGAGCCTTATGGCCAAAACAGGGCTGTATGTCAGAAACATAGCAGAAGGAAGCTAAAAATGAGATGCTTTTGATAACTTCTGAGAAATTCTTAACTAGCAAGTCTTGGATAGACCTAGAAATAAGAGCTTAGAGTGACTTTGATGTGGTACTTTGGAACCATTCCTTAAAGAATGGCTTTACTGTATATATACTTAACAGTTTGTATAAATTGTATATATCACACTAACCCTCACATTGAGAACAACAACAAAAAAAAACTGGATTAAACAAATCTATTTGAAGGTGCTGAAGAATTATTAAGATAGATAGGGTTCACAGATCTGAAAGAGACACGTGCACCCCAATGTTCATCGCAGCACTGTTTATAATAGCCAGGACATGGAAGCAACCTAGATGCCCATCAGCAGATGAATGGATGAGGAAGTTGTGGTACATATACACCATGGAATATTACTCAGCCATTAAAAAGAATTCATTTGAATCAGTTCTAATGAGATGGATGAAACTGGAGCCCATTATACAGAGCGAAGTAAGCCAGAAAGATAAAGACCATTACAGTATACTAACACATATATATGGAATTTAGAAAGATGGTAATGATAACCTTATATGCAAAACAGAAAAAGAGACTCCGATGTATAGAACAGACTTGTGGACTCTGGGAGAAGGCGAGGGTGGGATGTTTCAAGAGAACAGCGTCGAAACACATATATTATCTAGGGTGAAACAGTTCACCAGCCCAGGTTGGGTGCATGAGACAAGTGCTCGGGCCTGGTGCACTGGGAAGACCCAGAGGGATCGGGTGGAGAGGGAGGTGGGAGGGGGGACCGGGATGGGGAATACATGTAAATCCATGGCTAATTCATTTCAATGTATGACAAAAACCACAGCAATGATGTAAAGTAATTAGCCTCCAACTAATAAAAATAAATGAAAAAAAAAAAAAAGATAGATAGGGTTCAAATGGATAAGCTGTTGTAGCCTGAAATGCTTTCTTTCCACTTTGAGGCATTAGCTGCGTTTTGAGTAGTGCTAACTTAGGAGAAGAGTGCTTTGCTTTTAATTCTTTGCCTTTAATTCTTTGCTTAGATTGAGGCAGTGTGTCCTTTCTCTGTGTTTGAAATGCAAAAGTAAATCCTCTCAAATTACCCCTAGAATTTTTCATATGCAGTGTCCAGCGTGCAATAAAAAAATGAACAGGCATACCAGAACAAAGGACCAAATGACCACACAATAAAAATCAGAGGAGACTCACAAATGTTTAAGATATAGGTGTTTTCAGATACATACTTTGAGTAACTTTGATTAATAAATTCATAAAGATAATGAGAAGATAAAGAATTTTAGCAGAGAAATAGAATCTATAAAGAAGAATCAAGTGAAAATATAATCTGAAAGTATAATAACTGAGGACCCATAGATATCCATCTAGATATTAGATAGATACTAGATTAGATACAGCAGATAAGAAAATTATTTAACTAAAAGATAGGTTAGCAGAAACTAGCCAGCCTAAAGAACAGATAGGGGAAGAGAGACTAGAAAACACAGAAAGGAGCCTAAGAGACTTATGGGACAGAGTGAAGACTTGATGATCCCAAAAATTGGATAAGCATTCTGAATGAAAATGGAATTCTATAGCAGCTCTCTCCTGAATCCCAGGCCCCAAACCACCAAACCAAACAAAAAAACTCCAAACTTACCTTCCGCTTTAGAGGGTACCACTTCAATTGTTTATTCTGTTTGTTGTCCCAGTCCCAAGTTTCCAAATCAAGTTCCACTTCCCCTAGAAAACTATTGCGCTTAAATGTATCTCGATGCCAGACAGACAGGTTCAGCTTTTGTGTCTTTAAGATTTGCTTGTCGATTTTATACTGCAGTTCAAAGAAGGAAATTAAAGGGGTAAATAATATTATTTTAGGCCAAAGTTATGATATAGAAGTGAAGATAAAGTCCTCTGTGTACATCAGATTTTTCTCATCTGTTAGGTTTCAAGTCTCAAAAAATACTGCAAAGTCATCTTATTCTAAGTGCCTTGTTTCAAAGAGCTAAAATCCATCTTTCAAAAAGCTGATTTTTCTTTCCCTCTCTGGAAAAGCAAATCATGGCTCAAGTATCATTGTTGGTAATAGCTCTCTAAAAACAATTTTTACTGGATGTTTTTAGTTCTAACTAGATATAACATGAATCCAATTCAGTCTAAAAATACAAATGAAGTTTAATCCAATGGTCTGTTTTCTACCTGAGGACAAGGTACTTTTTTTAATAGACTAATTGTTAGAGCAGTTCAAGATGTGCACAAAATTGAAAAGAAAGTACAGAAGAGTTCCCATATTCCACCTGCTCCATATATATACAATCTCCCCAATCATTGATATTTGGCAAGGACAAAATATTTTTCAAGAAAAGGTCGATCTGTTTTTTGTTTTTTGCGGGGCATCTTAACAGTTATAATCTGAAATGTAGTCAATTCTTGATTATACATAATTATGGAAGGGATAATAGTCCTTCTAATCTAAAAATAATCTCTACTTGGCTTTATGATATACTACATGAATGTCCATTTTGGTTGTAGTAGACTTGCTTTTCTCTGAGTTTACCATTTAAATGAGCTGGCTTTTCCTGAGTTCATGGTTGAAGTAGATGACCTAGAAATAGCAAGGGTGCTGAGGCATATCACAGTCAAACTGTAATAAAAAACTTGCTATAGAAAATCCACAGACAATTCACTCATGGATAACTGAGGGTTAATTTAATGCCGCTCTTTTTCTCAGAGGATAACCAAATACTTGGACAGTATTTTCAGAAAGAGAGAATGAATACTACTTCTCACATTTGTTGTTGTAAATAATCTGTTACCCATGACTAAGGCACCATGAGATAGTTTGAAGGAAGATAGAACATGGGCATTTGAGTGAGGTATATTCTCCACTCATCTATCCAGCCATCTCTCCTTCCAATAAACATTTTTAAAGTACCTATCCCAGACACTGTACTAAGAGTCATCATTTACTAAGTGTTTAATGCATACTATGCATACTATACTATGGACTTCCCCTATAGTTCAGATGGTAAAGAATCTGCCTGCAATGTAGGAGACCTGGGTTCAATCCCTGGGTTGGGAAGATCCCCTGGAGAAGGAAATGGCAACCCACTCTAGTATCCTTGCCTGGAGAAAACCATGGACAGAGGAGCCTGGCGGGCTACAGCCCATGGGGTCACAAAGAGTAGGACATGACTAAGTGACTAACACACACTAATGCATACTTATCACTTTACACATATTAACTCTTTTAATGTTCACAACTTCTGAGGTAGGTAGGCACTATTCTTTGTTTATCATAAATTAATTTTAAAAACTTTTTGGCCACACCATGCAGCAGGAAGGATCTTAGTTCCCCCACCAAGGATTGAACCTGTGGTCCCTGCAGTAGAAGCTCGGATTCTTAACTACTGGACTGCTGGGGAAGTCCCACATAGGTACTCTTCTTATCTCCCATTTGCAGATCTAAAGTGCAGATGGGTTAAGTCATTTGCACAAGGCACACAGTTTACAAGCAACCTAGAGTTGATCCCTGCTCTTGTGGAATTTACAATTAAACCAGCAGTTAAAGTGCTGAATGTCAACACCACCTATTGTGAAACAAAGACACTGAGGCAGCAAACAGCAGGGAAACTTAGGAGTTAAGGACAGCCTCTCACAGGAAGAGGCATTTCAGGCTGTGGGAAGTAGTTATGGACAGCATATGGGGAAGAACATCCCAGTTTGAAGAAAGAGAAAGTCCCAGCAGAGTGAGAGAATGTAATTCCTCCAAAGAACAGAAAGGAATCAGGGTAACCTGAAGAAAGACAATGAAAGCGGAAGGATGAGGCCAGAGCTCAGGTTCTCAAGGGAGGGGTGTGCGTGTTAAAATGGGCGGGCTTGACCTTAAGGCTAATGGGAGTCCTCCAAGATTTTAAGCAGAGAAATAACATGATCAGAATTGGGCTTTTAGAAGATTGTTTTGGCTGTGGTGCTCAACTTTATCATCTGTGTATCCAGTTTCCTTTATTTCCCTAAGCTTCATTTGCCTCATCTGTGAGATGCAGATAATAATAACCCCTGGCAGAGTATGGAGGGCGTGCATGAGACAAGGCATACAACAGGCATGGTGTATCATCTCACACAAAGCAGATTCTCAGAAAGTGGTTATTCATTTCCTTCTCTCTCGGGGACTGACTTCCTCTGCAGAGATACTACCGAAGATGATATGGCCTCTTAAAAGCATAGGTCACCATTTGGGATTTTCCTAGATAGAGAGGTTGTAGGTACCCGCAGTATCTCGTTATACACAGGATTCAAAGTTTTCTTCACTACAAGTGTTTTCTTCTTGCCCATTTTGCCTTTGTCTGGTAATAGGTAAGTCTTTACATATCTAAAAAGAGAATTGAACAGACAAGAAGGTCAGAGAAAATACAAGTGACATGTGTACTTGTGCTTTTAAAAATGCATTAGAAATTGATAGGAATAATTATTTCATGACACTAGTGAAAGTAGTATACAATAAATGCTCTCATCAACACCTTTATACTTAAACTTTTAAGTGATTTCAGTGGAATGGATCATTTTAAATTGTTTTGAAGATTTTTAAGGGGTAGTCCCTGAATTCCTTTCTTCCTTTGACCTTAACTAATGTAGGGCAGGGGGAAGACAACTGACCTCTAATGTGATGCTTAATTTCATTGGTTAGTGTCCTATTAAGAAAAGGCTTTGATGCTTGCAGAATTAAAAAAGACTGTCTTTTGAAAGAAAAATCTTGGTATATACCTAATCAGGACATATTCAGTGTAAAACAAAACAAAAAGAAAAAAAAAGAAAAAAAGTAAAGCTATTGGGCCCAGCTACTTTTATAACAAAAACAAAGGGTTGGGCTTATGCTAGCAAAATAATAAAGAGTCAGACTTCTGCATAGGGGTAAATGGGGGCTGTCATTCAACTTTTATAACTGAACTGAAATGCCAATAAACCTGTGATTTCCAAAATGAATTAGTAATTCCCCCTAAAGTTCCATAGAATATAATTTAAATGTGGAAACTACCTTATTCTAGAATCTTATCTATCTCGACATCACTGAGCACTATAAAGTATGCCCAACACGTCCCCCCTTTTAGAGAAAGTCTAAAAGTGTGCAGAGAAAGGGGACTCAAGTCCTCATTACTCATTGTGCTGCTATAAACAAACAGTACTTATCTTCTCTATCCTTTGTTTCCTTATCTGTAAAAAAGAAAGAATCAGGACAGGATGACCTCAAAGGTTCTTCCAACTTGAAATGCTTTGTGTTTCTCTGACATTCTTATAATTTAGTAAGTTTGGTGTATGAATCTATAAACAGCATTTTTTCCCAACTCTTTCCCCCCCATCCCGTTTTTTCCCCTGAACATTCCTTTTTAACACAGTCACACACATACTTTCCCTTCAATTTCTTTCTTTTTTTCCCAATTCCTACAAGAGTAACTAAGAGAAAATAGTGACTCCAAAATGTACTTACGGGTCCGAACGCTGTTTTTTAATATCTGCTGCTGCTAAGTCTTTACACTGGGCCACAAAGACATGCAACTCCTTTAGTGAGTCCACGTAGTCGATGGCAAACTGGATATTTCCTTTCACTTCCAGATTGCCAAAGTCTCCACTATAAACACTCATCACACTGCCGCTGACCTGAAAACGTCGGAAAACACGCGGTGTCTGTCTCTGTCTCACTCTCGAATCCAGCACAAGGATTACATGGGTGTAATCTTTGCTTGCCATTATTTCTCTAGTTTGCATGTAAAAGCAGCTAATTTAATATGGCATTGAAAAAGCATACCAACACAGACAACCTGACATGATATACATGATATGATGACTGGTGTTTAACAAAAATTGCCTGTAAGAGACAGAGATGAAAAGTATGAAATGCAAAGTTATTTCGATGCTGACTCATTTCAAACCAGGGTGACTTTATGGTTGGGGCACTCAGAGTCCCATTTTTAGGCATGCTTAGAATTTAAAATGTTAAATAAAGAGGATGTGAGAAACCCCAGGCACAAAAAACACAGTGACACATTGCTCTATCAAATATCCAAGGCACTAAAAAGGAATTTTACTATGTTACCCATCCACTGACGCTAAGAAAATGCTTACTGAGCCATACACTTTTAGATGTCAGGAAGGGTAGAAAATGGATGATTGATGAAGAAACTTTAAAGCCTTCCCAAGGCCATACATTTGATTGTTATCAGCAGGCATTCAATTTAAATAGATTTTTTAAAAAAGAGTTTGAAAAATGCAAGGCCAGTAAGAATTTAAGCACAGATTTATCATTTGTTTAGCATATCTGATGAGATCTGTGCATGTATATACAGATCATAGATATTTGGATAAATGTATGTGGACATATTTACATACATATATATCACTATACACATGCTACATGCACACACAAAACTATCTCACTTCTATAAAAAGTCAAATTCTCCAAATCAAATCTGAGCAACTACACTTAGGGAGCTTCCTTTGGAAAATCCCATTCTGAATCCTTCCATGAGGCAAAGAATCACCTCGCCTTTTAATGTGAATCAGTACTTTTAGTTGTCAGAATAAATGACCTGCTAAAAGAGGTACAATTCTATGCCTGCAAAGAGCACATAAAATCATATCTGATAAAAGCAGACTTTGTAATAGTTACCCCATTCGCTGCACAGAGAAGTTTAGCGGTTCATCCTGTTGGTAATTTAGGTTTATTTTTGAAGTACTTCACATCCAAAACAAACGGTATCTGTTTATCTTGGATATGAACAGTCTTGTGATTAAAAAAAGAGAAGAAAGGAAGATGTAGCTAGCCAGAAGCTAATTGTGGGTTAGATAAAAAACAAAACTCTCACACCCCTGGAATCCGAGAAATATAACAAAAGGCCATTTTACAGGGGCAGGAGCGTGGCAGAGCAAGGTTGGCAGAAGCAGGGGGATATTAACACAAAGCCTTTGTTTACATACAGAAGACAAGGACGTCATGCCAGAGGAGCTGCTAAGATTGGTTAAAGAGCTTGGGCTCTTCTTGTGTCTGCTGAGCTGGTAACTGCCTTCTGATGCTGTATCTGTCTCTCTGTCATCACTCTACAAAACATCATATAATACACACAAAATTCAAATTCAGAAAGAGTCAAGATCATGATCTTAGTTTAGATAAAGATAATAGCTTGGTATCCCACTCATGTATGACATTTTCCAAGGTCAAAGGACAGCAGTGCTAACTGCCAAGGAATGGTATTCAAGATGGGGTGGGTGGTCTACCCAGGATCTCACTTAAGCAGGAGAGCAGTGTTTAGCTACTGAAATAACAAAGTGATTTTTTTTTCACCAGCAAGGTGGCCCCCAGGTGCTACAGAAGATAGCATATTGTGAGCTTTCTTGGCTTTCTCTTAATATTACACATTTATATTGCTTGGCAAACTTTATTGATACATATGAGAAATTATCTTTACCTAGACAATAAAAGGTCTAATATTTACTCTTAAATCATAAAATGTCATGCCTAATTCCTCTCAGTAACATAGGCTTAACTTCCCTAAAAATAAAATCTTTTACTTGAGACACTATTAAACTAGGGAAAACAATTCTAATCTGATCTGTGTTTCAAGTTTTTCATATATGCATGTATGTGCATACACACACACATGTGAACTGAACTGATATGTAATTTTAAACCACCTCTTAGGTATTCCTATAGAGTTACAGTGCTTATCTTTTTTGTTGCTACAGGGAGGTATATTGAATTATACATTCTACCCACATTGTATTTTAACAAATTTTTAAAAATTGCAGTAAGGTATTTATTTTAAATATGTCCCTGGAAATATTTACCTGGGTCAAGAAAGAAAAAGTGGTGATAATAAATTTTATTATATTTAGATCTATAGTTTATTAGATGGTAGCTTTAAGGATCTGTGATTCAGAATGAGCTCCTTTTGGGGTTAGAGAGTTTATGGAGCAGTTCAGTGGCTCCTGGGGTGAGGGAAACACCTTTACAAAGGAGTGGTTAGTTCATGCCAACATATTTCAGGGCCATGCAATTACATGTCAATATAACAGATGCCAATCCTAATGCAGATTAAGAAAGGAGTTAAATGATGATGATTTATGTGGATGAGAAAAGAATCCTTCCTCAAGGATGAAAAAATCCACACCTTTTTAATGTTTATATTATCACACTCCCTCCCCACATGCTTAGAGACCATTTCCCTCTATCACAGCCATAATACATTCTACCTGGTACATCAGATCATTAGTGATTATTGAAAGGACAGGACCTTGTCTTGATGACTTGTAACAATGATTTTCCCAAAGTTGGCACTCAACAAACGTGACTGATAGTAAGCCTCAAAGGGACAGTGGATGAAGAAGCAAAGTCTGATTTTATCCCACATTCTTTAACATTCAGTCCAACCCCAAGTACTTTGAAAGGTAAAACAATATAGCTTAATTTGGCATCTCTGATCCACAGACTCTATTTGGACTATCTTTCGTGTGGAGCAATGAGGCAGCAGGTTAAAACTGAAGGAAGGAGAAAAAAAAATCAGCAACTGGTATCATTTGCCTCTCAAATTATTAGATGTTTTATTCGTATGACCAGCCAAGACCAAAGCACATCTACAAAGGTATAAAACCACAGAAACTCCATGAGGTACCTATGCTGGCTTCTAGCTCATGAGTTTGTTTCAAAGAATGAGTGCTTCTTTCCAAAGCAACTCCAATGTGGGCTCTTAAGCACATGCAGGGGTTGAATATTTTCTGAAAAAGTTCATGGAAGACTCAAGTGTAGACAGAAGGGTTCCCGGGAGGCTGGGGAGGAGGGATGTAATTCGTATGTTTTCAGAGCTTTCCATCTACTAAGAGAAAGGATGAAGCTTTTATTTCATCATGAAAAATCAGACCAAAACTGCAAACAGCAACAGCAAGCACTAAGGTACTACGTGCCAGCACTGAGCTGTGGTTTCCCTGCATTATCTCACTGACTCCTTACAATCTCATGAGTTATGTACTAGGGGAGCGTTCAGGGAAGTTAAGGACATTGTCCATATCCACATAGCAAATCAGCAGCATAACTAGGGTGGGGTGTCTAACGTCAAACCTCAGACTCCTAGTGACCTGCTTGCAAAACATGGAATCTTAGTTAAGTCAAAGAACCTGAGTTAAAATCCTAGATCTACTTTTCAGTAGCTGTTGAATTTGGGGAAAGGCTCTGTGAGGCTCTTTCTTCTTGTATAAAATGGAAAAAAATTGTACCTACCACATTTTGTTAGTAAGAGTTAAAGATAGCAGAGTGCCTGGTACTTACTATGTATTAAATGAATAACAGATAATAGTCATGTTCTTATTTGAAACAGAAGGTGTAGTAGTTAATAGCATGAAGGTCAGAGCTGGACTCCAGTCCTGGGTTCAGCTCCTTTCTAGCTGAGTGAGGTTGCCTGATCTCTCCTAATCTCAGTTTCCTCATGTGTAATATCCGGGGATAGTGATGGTGCCCACCTACCAGGGTTACTGGAGGATTAAATGAGATAATGTATATAAAGTGCTTACACTTTATATAAAGTATATAAAGTATTTTATATATAAGTATATAAAATGTATATATATAAAAAAGTATATAAACTGTATATAGTTTTCCATGTCATTGATACTTTCTAATTTTAACATATGCTTTCAAACTAGACTAAGTTTCTAGACTAAGCTTTCACAAATGAACCGTACTCTAAACTGCAGAGAAGTTCATGCCAACATTTTTCGGCCTGGATTTCTTATTTTGAAACAAAAGTCACATTCCCTGTATGCAATCCGGCTTCACCACCAAAAAGTTACCATATGAGTCAAATGAGATATGCCTTGCCTTGTTCCAGGACCCAAAACACTACATCTATTGATGTGAGAGGCAAAGGTTACCCCTGCTGCCTCTTAGGGTCTCTGCTGTGGCTTAATGCAAACACACCAACCTTGGCACAGCAAATCCACTTATTTGGTTCCATTTTTCGGAAGGTACAAAAGACAAACTTGCCTCATCTTGAAGAAATGCTGGAACAGACTTGCTCATCCTTCTGAGTTTGTCAGGGTGGGAAAACTGATTATCAGGCTGTGAAGACACTGTGGGAACTAAACAGCATTTCCATTCAAAGTTATCCTCACAATTGTCAGACAAACTTAAGGCATAAGTTGAAAACACACTTTTTTCCATCTATGAGCAGAGACGTTTTTGTAAAATGGTTAAAGGCACAGTGGTTCACATGCACAGGGCCATAAGGTAAGCGACATGCACTTTTCATGAATTATACAGAGAGAACTAGCAAGGAGTTGAACCAAACAGAAAACAGAACTTAAAAATCACTAGGTTTTATTGGACTGGAGAACTGGATTTGAATTATATTGAAATATACTACTAACATGAATTGGTTTTAATTTATATTTTTTCACAGTAGATCTTTGAACCACAAGATCTGTACTTTATTGGTTCATCTCCTTGAGATATATTTTTTTAACATGTTACAGGCTGAAAAACTATTTCATTGAATAGCAAGGATCTTTGTACACAACTCAATCATAAAGTGTCCTGGCTATTGATGTTTAAAAGGAGGTTGGATTCTTTAGTGATTGTTGGGATTACTGTAAGAGTATTTCTCCCTCAGAATCATAAAAAAACACAGTTTTGAAATTATTATCTGAAAATAGAAATTATTTAGCTATCTGTCAATTCAGATAACTTTCAACAGCAATATCCAAAGGCCAAGTATTAATGACTCAGGTTAAGATACTCTAAGAATTTAATATGAAAATGTAGCACACAGTTTCTTTTTGATACAGTAAGTATATATGTGGAAGTCACAACAAGATGATGAATTCTCTTCCTAATATGTTTAACTCTAGTTAGAAAACTTTTCTTCTTCTTAGTCTAAGAATGACAATGTCTAAGCTTTTCTTATGGTGAATCAGAGCTTTCGTATTGAATGGCTTAATATTTTTCAAGGCACTCAGAACAGTGCTTGGCACATATTAGGCTCTATATAAGTCTTTGCTAAACAAGTAAACAACTGATAGGAAATCTTTAAATTATCTTTTCCATGTGACATAAATATACTGACATGACCTTCTCTTTGAAGAGATACTAGGAAAACAAATAAAAATCAAATTATATGTCTACCTATAACTCAAAAGGCTCAAGCTTAGCCCCAAATATTAGCTACATTCATTGCTAGTTAAAAGAAATCTAATGAAGGAAAATGGAAACTTGAACTATTAAATATTTGCTTATCACATAATAGCTCTCACCTAGTTTTAGGCTCACAAATGCATCAAAATATATTTATGGTGTCTCACAAGATGATAACCTGCTTTAATTACTTCCCATGGTGTGTATTTGAGCGACTTATACTGAAGTAGTATAAGATCAGGTCCTACAAGGGCAAAGGATAGCCCAATGAGTATGCAAAACTTTATTATAACATTGCTCTGTATTACTTTCAAAGTATATATTTACTACTCAACTGTAGTCAGTTTAGTAATATGTTTACTGGGCTTTAGTTATTAGTGTTTTGACCATGCATTTCATTTTGTTTTATGGTAAGAACACACTCTTCACTAAACAAAAGGAACAGCCCCAGCCCAGGCAATAAAAGTCATCTTGGAAAATACCACACAAAAAAAAGAGAAATTAATTTATCCAAAATTTAGCACTGATTAGCCTCTTTGCCTTGACCAAAAGCTAAGCTAATTAGGAGGTCACAAATGAAGACACAGATATATAGGCATACATCATCTATGTCTATGGTTTGTTTCCACTCCTCAGGCTAAATGTTGAATAAAACACAGAAAAATAAACTAAGATGTCCAAACTTAAGTATCCAGTTGCCAGTTCAAGAGCAGCTGGAAAAGCCTCTTTACCCAACACCCCTGAGAGACAGAAGTCTTTCCTCTGCAGCAGCCATAGAACTCACACCAATGGCTGAAACCTGGACGGCCTTATTTCCTAGGTAGTTCTTAAGAACTTGTCAGGTCATGTGCCAAGGCTCAGCACCTTCATCTCTGGCAGGAGAACCTCATGAGCGGAGTTTCAGATTTCAGATGGGAAGTCACTGTTTTCAAGCATCAGCACTTTTCCTCTATCTAATGGCTCCCTCCTTTGGCTGCGCTTCTCTTTTAAGAACCATTAGCACATCCAATGACTGTTGGGAAACTGTTATTAAAAATCCTATGGGCCGGTATGTGTATCTTCATCCCTCCAGTGCCTAGGATTTTGAAACCACCTCTGAAAAGGGATGCCACGAAGACACACAAGCATATCTGCATTCTTTGCTAGTCCCCACAAATCCCTTTTTAATTCACTATTTGTACTCAAAACAATAGTCACAGTTAAGAACAACACTCTTAAGAGTGAACAGAAAACAGTGAATAACCATTATCTTTTCCTGGTGGTGGATACTAATTAGTTGATGCATATGAGCTACCACAACTGTGCATACATTTTTCTTTTTTAAAATTGAAACATAGTTGACATACAGTATTATATTAGTTTCAGGTGTACTACCTACTAGTAATTGGACATTTGCATACATTATGAAATGATTACCATAAGTCTAGTAACTATTTGTCTCCAATATTATTACAATATTATTGACCATATTCCTTATACTGTATATTACATTCCCATGATTTGTTTTTTATCTTAATCCCCTGCACATTTTCACTCCATCATGACCCCCAACAAACACCCATTTGTTCTCCATATCTTTGAGTCTGCACGTTGTTTTTGTTTTGTAAGATTCCACATGTACGTGAGATCACATATGTGTGATCTCTGACTTACTTCAGTTAGCATAAAGCCCTCTAGATCCATCCATATTGCCATGTACATTTACAACGTAAGATTCAGAGGTTCACTTGCCTTATATATTGAACTACACTATTTTAGTTTTGAACCTCTGGGCTTAAACCCTGGGCATTAAAAAATTTGCTTCTATAGATAATGTAGAGAGGCACACACAGCCATAGCACATCCTAATTGTCAAAGTACAGTCCTTTCCCAGGTCCAAATACATTATAAATTGTTTCATGTCTATAGTGTTTTGTAGAGGCCATAGGTGATCCAGTACTCCAGACCATACTGTCAAGTGATATCATTTTAAATAAAGACTCAAAGAGCAGGGAGACTGGCAAAAGCATAATAGTATTCAGCAATAATGTGTGTATATACAATACACATATATATATATAATTTTAAAAATGTTTAACTATCCCTCAGTAGAATCATGAATTAACACAGAGTAGTAAAATACTTTTAATAAATAAAACCCTTGTCAGAATGAAATAGTTTTGTAAGCTGTAAGAGTTTAGTACAATAATAAATGCTGCATTATTAATGGGGTTAGTTATTTCAGTACATTTAACACCATGTAGAGTGGCAACATTTAGTCATTTGTGAGAAAGATCCTGCTACTCACTTCCTGGAATGCATTCATTTGTGTCTGGTTCCTGATCTGCTTTTTGATCTACTCAGAAGAGCAACATTGAGAATAAATGCCATTTTAACAGAAAGATTAAAGAGACATGAAAGTAAAGCTCAAATGTCAGTTTCACAACTAAGACTGCAGAATACATCTGACAGGTTTTCAGCCTGCTTCCACCCATTCCCCAATGCAATTCTTCCTTAGCCTCTTTGAGGTCTCCTGTTCAACTAAAAATCCAACATCCAGCATAGATGTTCAGTGTCTTTCCTCTTACTCATTAAGCCATGGCACGGAAAACAGAAGGAGCACAGGGCTAGGAGTGAAGCTGAGGTTCCCATCCTCACCCTCTCACTGACTGACTAGCTACAAAAGCTCAGACAGATCACCTCCTTTCTCTGAGCTTTTCTTATCTGTAAAATGCAGATAAAAATCACTGCCCCACCTACTTCAATGAAATGGTTATCAACATAAAAGACAAAACCATTACATAAAAGTAAGGAATGACCTTTGAGGAGCTCTGTTGCTTCATTTTATATGAGAAAGCTCAGCTAACATACATTTTTATTATTATAGTGAAAGCAACTTAGAAAACAAAATTCTAGCGTACAAGTATAAATTACATATTTGCATAAATGCTGAATGATAAAAAAATCAAACTCATTTCCATCCTTGCCCCCACGGTTACCCTATTCATTTTATAACTGAACCAAGAATAATGCCTGATCCATAGACAAGCTGCAAGACCTTCTGGCTCCTTAATATTCAGAATTAGTCAATTTCACCCTTGGTCTATACTTGGTTATTGACGTAAGCAGAGGCAAGATACCCAGTCTTGTTCTGGGACCCTTTCCTTTGATCTTAAATCTTTACCAGTTAAATCTAGAGAGATCTATATGCTGACTTGAAAATCAAATACAGGAATAACTTAACCCAGGAACCCATGCCACTTTCCCTGCCTCCACAAGGAGTTCTGCAAGTCAGAGTAGCAAAAATCTGCTCATGCTCATAGAAGTACGATTTCCTATTTTTAGAAACCCTTGCTTCCCAAGGGTCTCTGATGAGATCTTCACACCAGTATCACCAGCAGAAACCTTAAGAATACGAACAGTATTAAATGCACCAAGTCAGAACCATTTTATAACAACTTAGGCACCATTCATCACATAGTGACAAGTGACGTTCTTCTATTTATCCTAATAGCTGTATCCGGGTGACCGCCCAAACCACCCCAGAACTTAACACACAGACAGACATGCAAATACATAAAGATATTTACCATCTTCAGCACTACGTACTAATTCTTCTGGCAGATTATCTACTTTGGCTTGATCTGTGCAGGAGAAATTAACAAATGGTTAACACGACTGACCCTTGGCGAGCAAGAACAATGAGATTGTCCCTGGAAGCCCCTGGAGTTGGAAGCAGTTAGTCAAGATGCCGTGTGAGGGGTGCAACCAAGATGTCTTCCCCAAAATACTTTCTCTTTAGATTAGCTACTCAAGCCAGTGCCATAGCGGGAGCTCCCATTTCAGCCCCGATGCAGCTTACATCAGCACACTGCTGCACACGGACTCCCAAGGGTTAGAGGGTTAGCTCAGAGCAAGCAATCGGCCGGCAGCAGGAGAAAGCACGGGGCTGCAACAGCCTCTCTATTCTTCTGGAAAGGGTAAGATGCTAGCCATGACTAACACCTTCCCAAACCCACGGTCATTAACAAATATTTCTGGGCGTGCATCATCATTTGTGCATGCCTCCGGGAGCCTTGCTTGGGAAGTCAACTGAAGAGATGTAAGTGGGGACCAGCTGCTAAGTGGAATCTTGGCAGGCTAGTGTGAGAGTGGGTATCGGTATTTGGAAGGGAGCGTGCAGGAATACCCGTCAGCTGATGGTGTTTTTTTTTTTTAACCCTACACATTCCTGAGTACTTTAAAGCTGCACCATGGCAATAGCCCCATGCTTCTCAGGCTAGAGGTTTGCCAAATTGGACAATTGTTGCTGAAGGTTTTTTTTTTCCCCCTTCGGGTCCATCACTAACATCAGAAAGAACAATTAGGGCTGAACAACAAAGGACTGGACTAGCCTTCTCTGGAAGCATTCAGGCGGATGTGGGGGCTTGGCCACCTGTTGAGGCTTTAGAGGGAATTCCTGCATTGGAGGGGGAGTTTGGAATGGGTGACCTTCAAGGTCCCTTCTAACCCTGAGATTCCAAGATCTTTGGTGGGGTTAGGGCTGCATTCCATATTGGGAATACTGCCTTCACAGCCCTGAAAATCTCTGAATTTTAATAACTATTTAGTGGCATAGCTTGTTCTTTTTCCTTTTCCTTTTTAAAATCGGAAACTTTTCAGTGTTAACTGTAGATGCATAGAAATATTCCAAATGTGAAAGTGATCAATTTTTAATCATATGAGTTTGGCAGTGGTTAACTTGCACTTGATAAATTTCCTCATGACCATCTGTAATCCCAAGGGTACATTTTAGTTTAGAAAGAATAAGAACAAAACCCCTAGAAGTCACAGTCTCTAAATCTGTCTGGCTCACAAGTCCCTATATACGTTATGCTTTATGTTACTACTCTAGAAATCCTTCACCAAATAAAGCAGTGGGGAAGAGTGTGCCTGGAGTGTTGTATGTCAGGTAGCCTTTGAGCTTAGAGTTCCACTATCCAAAAGAAATGGGTGGAAATAAGGGATAAAAGAAAAAGCAAAGTCCCTGAAGCCAGGGATGAATTCATCTCCATATCATGCAAAAATTTATCAGACAAGAAGCAGTTATATGTAATACAATCACCTCATAAATGCTCTTGATAATAGCCCATTGATTTTGAGTCCTAGCTCTGCTGCATGGTATGAAGCAAATTACTTTACATCTCTGAACTCTACTTACCTCATCTGTAAAATGGGGATAACAATTTGTTCCCCCCCACCCCACCCCCCATGTGGTTGCCTATGCCAGTTACATGAGATCATGCACATAAAACGCTTAGCCACGTCTTGGCACGCAGTGCTCAATCAATGTCAGCTATTACCACTAGAACCACGAGGTACCACAGTCTTTTAAAACTCAGTGTACTTGAATAAATATTCAAACTGGGATTCTTCAAGAAAACCTAGTGTACTTGTAACCAAACCTCACGTGTTATTTTAAAAGCAAAGTTCCAACCACTTTTGGCTGAGCCTGTTTAGCTCAGTTGGGAAAAGCTGTTCTCATCTGTTAACCCCTCCTTTAGGGGTTCAGGGCACAACAGCATGCAGTGAGGCCAGAGAAGAGCACATGAGCATTTTTAAGCTTAGATCAGGGCATGGGCAGTGGGGCACACTTCATTCTCACTTGATGAATCTGATGAAATATCTTCCAGACTTTTGGAAGGCATTTTCCTAGCAGCACTCCTTTCCAAAATTTTCAAAACAGGACTGGGTTCTTCTTCTGAACCTGTTACAAGACAAAACCGATGAATACTGCACAATACAAACAAAAAAAGAAAATAATCAAACTCTTAATAAATCAATGGACACTGAAATGGCAGGTGGAAAGGAGGTATTATGCCATAAGCCTCCATATTTTTATCCATTTTATGAGGCAGTCCACAGAAGAAAATAAAATTTCTTCACTAAAGAATATTAGTGCATGTGCGTGCGTGCTTAGTTGTATCGAAATCTTTGCTGCCCCACGGACTGTAGCCCATCAGGCTCCTCTGTCCACAGGATTTTCCAGGCAAGAATACTGGAGTGGGTTGCCATTTCCTCCTTCAGAGATTTCCCTGACCCAAGGATCAAACCCTCACCTCCAGTGTCTCCTGGATTGGCAGGCGGATTCTTTACCACTGAGACATTAAATGACTTCCCTGGTCAAGAAATATTGGTAAGCATAAATGATACAGAGAAAAGATGAACATAATGACCACATTAACAGCAACGTGCTGCCTTAGTCTTCTACACCTCTATTTTAGGCACATGATTTGTTCTGTTCTAAAATTTGAATTTTCCCCTTCACGTCTAGCTTTTGAAGACAGTCACAAAATGGTTTTAGGAGCATTAAAATAATTAGCTGAAAGCCATAGAAGGCAGGATTCAGATGTTTTAACATCTGTATATAATTGGGTACACAGATGGGTGAATTCTCCAGATCAACAAATATAGACGCTTTGGTTTCATGAGCTAGTGAGCTTTCCATCAAAAGGTTGGGTAATGACCTGAGGTGGTCAACTTTTTATTTTAAAATAGAAAGCATTTTAAAGTGGGGGAGGTTGGTCTCTATTAACTACTAATGTCTTCATTTTATAAAAAATGAAAGGTATTTTAGGACCACAAGGAAAAAAGAAAAAGGGCATAACTGGAGAATAAGCACTGTTCTTTAAATGCATCTAATGTTATAAGTATTTTTCTCTAGACTGTCTTTAATTTTTCCACTTTGACAGTGAAAACTCCAACATGGATAAGCCTTGGTCTGAGTACCATCACTCATCACTGTTATATTATTAGCACCTACAACAGTGGCAGGCACTTCGACATTGTTTGCTAAATCCATGAATGATTCCATTAATGAGTCAATCCACTTGGGAACAACTCTAGACAACACTTTCCTGAAGTGCATCCCAGTTCTGCCCAATGTTAATAAGCATTCTCCAGTAAATGGATTCTAAGATGAATTAGATTCGGGATGTTCTGTGTTCAAATTTTAAAGTTTTCTTACTACGGACCTTCTCGGTGACTTTAATATGCTTCAGTGCATGAATCATGTGCATAATCTCTCAGCATTCCCTCCTCCCTTTATTAAAGGAACATACTGCGGTATTGGCTGGTTAAGAGCTCAGCCACAAGTCTAGCATATTCGGCTGCTCATCAAAATTGGGGTGGCCTTGTTGTCAGGTTCTTCCCTACTCTCACTCCACCCAACTCATTTACTTAAAAAGTAATTATTTAGGTTAGAAGTTAGAAAACTACGCCTCCCAGGTGACTTAGTGGTAAGGAATCTGCCTGTCAATACCAGAGACGCAAGATACACGGGTTCAATCCCTAGGTTGGGAGAGATTCCCTGTAGGAGGAAATGGCAACCCACTCCAGCATTCTTGCCTGGAAAATCTCATGGATGGAGGAGCCTGGTAGGCTACAGTCCATGGGGTCGCAAAAGAGTCAGACATGACTGAACACACACACACACCATGCACCATTTTATACCTCCTACTTGGCTTGTAATTTAAAAATCTCTGGGCTCTGTCTGGGTAATCATTTATATTGATTATTTCTTTTCTAGATAGGTTTTTTGCTGTTCAATCAGTTATGCTGGTATACTTAAATACAGTTATACACATGCAGGAACGGTCTTCAAAATTAAGTGTAAATGTACAAGCCCTTCACCTCATACAGGCCCATTTACCCTAGTAACTCATGGGGTAGCTTAGTTAAATCTACTCCAGTAAGTTTAAAATGCTGACTTATACTCTTGCAGAGACTGGTATTTCACTTTCCTTTTCCCACCAGTTACAAATATTAAAGAGGCTTCAGCTTCATTACCTAGGATTATAAGTGGATTCTCTGGTCAGTTTTCAATAAGAGACCCTATGGCTACTTGCAAAGGAACCCAAACCTCACAAATGAGCCACTCAGTGAAGCTCATTTGTTCTTACTGAGACCGAAGGGAGCTAGGAAATGACACATTCTATTAATTTTCTGCTGAGAAAGGTGATCAACACTAGTTGTTGTGCAACTTTGGTTAAAATGTTCCAGCTGGGGAGCATCCTTTATTATTTCATCACTCTAACCAGGTAACTTCTAATCCCTATTTGTTCCTGGCTTTCTCTCCTAAAATAGTCAGGTTGCTCCAAAGGGCAAACTGAGACAAGCCCTTTCTTTGAGAGCCTGGCTGAAACCAGTATCCCAAGTCCACTTAGATGAATATGGTAATTGATGAAGATCTCCACTCAGCTAAGGCTGGAGCCAAAGAAATGCAGCAGGCCAGGCCAGGCCCTTAGGTGTGATCTGGTGAGGTCATCACACTGAGTCACAGCCAAGAAGGGAGAATTCTGCAGGTAACGGAAATGGGAGGGAGAGAGCAGCAAAAAAAAGAGAAAATGAAAAAACAAACCCCACAGCAGTTCAAGGTATCTGAGGGCAAGTTCCAGCCCTGCACCTTGTTCCTGGTACTCAGCCACCACTGTCGAAACGCGTTGCTCCTAAGAGGGCAATCTATGCCCACTTGCGGCACTTTCTTGCTACAAATCTTACTGGAGCCTGCTGCGTGGACTGCCAATTAGGAAATTCTAATTCTTTCCAAGAGGGAAGCTCACTTGGATGTCTCAGAGGTACTCTCTAAACCCCAAAAGTTCTTTAAAACACATCTTTGGAATCAGAAAATTCTATCGTTGATCAGGAAGAATAAAATCAGATTCTGAAACACTGTCTGATGGGTAACGCCATCTCTATGCAACTCATTTGATTAAAGAATATAAGAGGAAATGTAGCTTTTTTATTAAGAAAATCTAGGGAGAACCGAAGTACAAAGACAAACTTAGCACCACTTGGGATTATCAAATTAATCCCAGTTTTAAAAACTATATCATCCTTTATGTCAGCATTACATAAATCAACTCATTAACCAATCGGTGAAAAACTTCAAAATGCTCACTGGAGGTGTTTCTCCAGCTTTCTGCATTAGAACCAATGTTTCTGTCTGAAAAACCAGAGTCAGAGAAATCTTTTTCTTGCTTTTTCTGTAGTCTCTTAAACAGTGATGCCAGAATCAATCCAACTTGACTTGTTTTTGCAGAGTTTTCTTTGTTTGCCAGGAGAGGAAGGGGTTGCCTATTTTTGGGCATGTTAATTGCTTCAGGAGCCTCTTTGAAACCAGGCTCCTGAAAAGCCCTTTCTTGAACCACTGCAACCCCACTTTCACTATCCCTCTCCTCTGGGGGGTTTATAGTTCCAGTGGTCCCTACTTCGTGATCCACGGAAAGTTGTGAGGTTCCAGGGATCTCAACCCCACTTTCAGAACCACAGAGATCTGATAAGCCAGTCACAGCCTTGTCTCTTCCCAACACTCTATCACATAGGTTGACTTGAGATTTGAAAATATTACTCTTACGTTTGATTTCCAAGGCCTCTGAGGCTGACCAGTAAGAAGGGGGCACTTTCTCCCAAAATCTGGCCTGCTTTGATTCTAATGGCTCCTTCTCAGGACTTTCTTCCTTCACTGACACTTGGGGCTGATAAGAAGGACCGTTAGATGTTTCTTTAAGGAGTCTCTCCAAACCAATATCAACAGCACTCTCAGTAGTTGATGGCGCCTCAGACTTTTCTACTGTCTCTTTTATTTCCTTAGGATGGAATTCAGAAGCAGCTTGCCTGGGCACCTCAGTAACACCTACTAACTCTGACGGATAAAGACCCCGTGTATCACTGGCATATTTTGTGCTAGGGGTTTCAGTTGTTTCCTTCAGTAGTTCTTCTAAGGCAACACTGAATTCAAGGAGCTCTGATTTTAGGCTGAATAATCATTTCCCTCACAATTCCTGTCACTTCCCGAGGTAACTCTTTGCCATACTGAGCAACAGTAGAAGATGAGCTAAGGGTTTGGTCTGATGGAGACATCTGGGCAGCTAAATAAGATCCCATTTTATGAGTTTCATCAGAAACTACACTGAAGGAATAAAAATCCTTTCTGTCTGAAGCTATGCTATTCATTGTTGTCTGTGGTGGGATAACTCCCAGAGAATTTGGGGCACTACTGTCTACCCGTACACCTTTAGGAAATTCTGTTTTTACTTCTCTAGAAACTACTTCCAGCCCAGCTGGATAACTCAACCAAGCTTCTCTAAGTAGCTTTAGTAATATAGCTTTTACATCATTCAATGCAGGTCTGGGTGGAAGAATAACTTTTTCTACAGTCTCTGAAACTTCCCTTTGAGAAAGCAATGTCTTATCCTGAGGAGAAGGATGGGCATCCCTGGGAGAAGGCATATCTTGGGGAGAGTGGACCACATCCCCGGAAGAACCCTTTCTGTGGAGACAGGAAGGTTGATTCAGGGGATGAGAGCCTTCTGCAGCCATCTGGAACAAGTTCTCTGGGTTCAGCTGGCACTCACCACTTGGAGCTTCCTGGGAGAGAGCGCTGTTTCCCCAATTTTCTGTCCCCTCTGGAAAGGAAGCGATTTCTTCTCTCTCATCAGCTGACGTGTTCTGACTCTGCTCTATCCTGTTTTCATCAACGCTACTCTCTTCAGACTCTGAGTTGATCCCAACAGTGGTGGGTCCACATTTGGTTTGTGGGGGAGAGGGTGGGCTTCCAGTTGCTTCCTTCAGGAATTTGTCCAGACTAGCAGTCAAAGTGTTCAAATAGGCCTTTGGAGGAGCTACTGTTTTGTCTATATGCTCATTACTGATCTCCTTAGGCCTTTTGGCTTCTTCCTCAGGATCAGCAAAATCTGTCTCCTGAGGCCATGTCCTATTTTCAGAAACATCTGGTTCAAACACTTGTTTTTCATGAACTTTTCCACCAGAAGGCTGGAGGACTGGTGACGAGGCTTCGGAAAGCAGCTTCTGTAAGCTGTCATTAAGCGTGTCTTTGTAGTCTTTAGATGAAACACCTGTTTTCACTATGGATTCTTGAATCTCTTCAAGCTCTTGGTCAGAGTTCTCGTTCTCTTTTTTGAACACCGGGGTACCAAAGCATTCAGTATTTTTCCCCATGTTTTCCTTTGATGACTCATATCTTGGCAACTGATGAGTGGACTTTCTGGGTGGTCTCCATGGAAATGTGGTGTCATCTGGCAACACCTGGAGTGTGCCCTTTGAATTTAATTTCTCTATTTCCTCTCTTGCCGGAATTTCTTTCTGGCTTAGAATCATCTCTCTCTCATGGGTACTGTTTCCTGATGATGTCACGTCACTGAATTCTTTGTGTTTCTGACTATTAAAAAGCACAGAGTTTTTTTGGCTTGCTGTGGTGGTATTCTTCTCAATATTATCTTGATGGTTTGCATTGGTGCCTAAGTCCCAAAACCTTCTCAAATTCTCAAATTGAGAGTGATTATAGACTTGTTCTGTATTGGGTTCATTCATTCTTTCTTGTAAGGACATAACTTTAAAGTTGGGATTCAGAGATCTGTCTTTCTCCAAAGAGGTATGCATTTCACTCCCGACATTTGAAGCATGTTGCAATGGTGGGAAAGTAATGCCCTTTTCAGAATGCAAACTGTCTGTCACTGGTAATCTTTTTAGAGGCTCAGTTGTCCTATTCTGAAAGAGAGACACTGTGCCTGACTGGTCAGCTGAAGGATCATTTTTGGATGGACCTGATATTTGGGGCCTGGTCTCTTTAGGTTTCATTGAGGAATAAAAACCAGAGACATGGGCTGCTTGGCCATCGTTGTCTAGGATTACATGTTTGGCAGAGACTTGAGTATTACATTTACCATGGTCCATAGGTAAACTGTCCACGGATGTCACAGGCTGACATGCTTTAGCAGAAGGTCGTTCCTGACTAAATGGAGATGTGGGTTCTTTATGAATGGCAGCTTTTGTACTTTCCCAAAAGGATATTCTCTCACTCACTCTTTTGTATTTCTCTCTTTGTACTCGGTTCTGGGGAACCTCACCAGCTTCTGCTAACTGGACCTCAGGCTTCTTCCAAGGAGATTTACTGTTGGCAGCCCCAGGAGGTGACTCAATATTCTCTGGGTCTATAGAAGATTTTAGGATGGAAGTATCTCTTCCTTTGCTCTCGCTTTCTGCCTTTACATGAGCTTTGAAACTTGGCTCTTGGATAAATGTGGAAGAGTCAAAATTTACTTCTGACTTTCTTGTATTTTTTTTATCAACACGAAGCTTGGGTTCTTCTTCACCTAAGCTGCCAGCATCCTTAACATTGCTTAGAGCTTGGTCTTCTGCATGAGATCCTTTGTGAACACTGTAGGAACAGTTATTGGCTGGAAGAAAGACCCCAACTGCTTTCCCTGTGTTTTTTGAACCATGGCTATAGTCTTTAGTTTTACTCTCTTGATTTGGACCGTAGATTTCAAATGGTTGCAACATGCCCGGACTTTCCTTCCCTTGTGGGGACAAATTAATAGACCTGGGTTTGATGTGCACATTGTTATCTTGGCAATATCCAGAGGGCAGCATATGTTCTTCTACCTGGAATGTTGAATCAGGTCCCACAGGTGTCAATTCAACTTCGGTGGGTAGTAGAGCCTTCAAACCATTTCCTTCTTGACTGGTGTCATCTGTCACCAAGGCAACAGCAATCTGTGGCTTGGAGTCTGTTTTTCCTTTGGGCTCTACTTCTTGGGGATATTGGAGAGATGCCACACTGTCATCTGAATGAGAGCTTCGGTTAAACCAGTCTAGGACTTTAGATATGGAATCATCAGTTGTCTTCCTTATCTCAGTGGCATATGGACCAGAACGTGAGGACGTCTTTGCTTTTAGGGCCTGGTGTAGAGGGGGCTTACCTTGCTGATGGTCTCTAGAACTGCAGTCTGGCACCTCAGGTGAGCTGGGCTCAGTGCGAGACAGTCCATCTGCAACACAGAAATGCTTTTCTAAATGAGAAAAGAGAACGCTTAAAGAATTGTCATTCAATCACATCATCTTCTAAAAAGGCACTTTGTATTTACATTTGCTCCACCGTTAGTTGTTTACATCAGCATTTATCAGGAGTTATAATATAAACCATGCTAATTAAGATATTCTACCAAAGATGCCTTATAATAGTAAAGGAAGGTAAATAGAGGCCCCTGAAACTATGAGGGGAATTTCTTACAAGTGTCTGTTTTATTCTAAAAATTCAAGTAGATTTTATATTCTGATCCATGCTACATTTTACATACGAATTTTTCTCAAAGCTTTGCATAAAACAGACACTCCAGGGAGATACCTCTTGTTGATTATCTACTGGCCCACTCATAAACCCTAGAGAGGGCTTATACTCAAGTTTGAGAAACACAGGACTTCCCTGACATTCCAGTGGTTAAGACTCCAAGTTTCTAATGCAAGGCATGTGGGTTTGGTCCCTGGTCAAAGAACTAAGATCCCACAGACTATGCAATGTGGCCAAAACCAAAACCGAATAGAACAAAAATAATTTTGAGTAACAAAGACTTACGCGATTTCAGGAGTTAGGAAAACAACGTTCAAGGAAGATTAAACAAGGAGTTCCTTCCAAACCATCAGAATGGTACAATGAAGATATTTGCATCCTAGGGCCTTACTCCCGATACACTGAGCCAGAATCTCTGAAGATGGGGCCCGGGAATCTTTCCTACTGGCTATCTCAGTGGTGGTTTTGTATACCATGGTCTCAAGGGCTCTTCTGCGATCCCCTACTTCCCTTCTATAATTTGCAACTTTGAAGGAAGTTTCTGTGAGACAAGTAAAATGAGGATCAACAGAGAATGTGAATTCTACGTGTTGCCTGATGTTTGCTACCCCATGGCTAGGAGGCTAGAGAGGGGCGTTGAAGTTCTTTCTAAGCTATCGAGAAAGCAGGCTGAGACCCTTCTGAGCCTTAGGCACAGGCACGTGAGGGAACTCAGGCATTCTTTCCCTTTAGTTAACGTGGGTGTTCAGTATTTCTCGCTCTTCCTTATAAATGCTAAGCTACATATATGTTCTTGAAAATTATGTGAGCTGAATTTTTATGAAGTTGGCTACATTTCAAGTGCACCAGAGGAGATGTCAGTTAATAAAATTTTCTCTTTAATTTTAATTTTATCAACTCTGGCTAAATATAAAACAACAAAGGCTTATACAATAACTGGCACACAGTGGATACAAGTTTCCTTTCATAACGACACATGACACTATTAAAAATATGCCAGTGATGGTGAAGCTCCTTTGAGAGATCTTTAAGAGTTCTCTGTTAGGCTGTTTAATGGAAGACTAATGAGGAAAAAAGAATCTTGTTATATACTGTTAGTGAAAAAAGAAGTCTGGACAGTGTAAACATAATTCAAATGATATCCATTCCTGAAAATTATTGAAAGGCCCTACAATGAAACATTAGCAATAGTTGATATCACAGATGATCATTGTTTTATTTTGTGCATATTTCTTTTCAAATGTTTTTACACTTTTCAAATAGAAGTGTATTATTTTAAAAACAAGAACAGTTATTTAAAAAATTTGATGCCAGGTAATATTTTTGTTTCCTTTGAGGAATTCTTTTGTTTTCTTCTGGTATAATAATGCGTATTTGCAAAGCAGAAATAGAGACACAGATGTACAAGCCAAATGTATGATCACCAAGGGGAAAGGAGGGGTGGGATGAAGTGGGAGCTTGGGACTGATGTATACACACTACTACGTGTGAAAACAGATAACTAATGAGAACGGACTGTATAGCATAGGGAACTCCACTCAGTGCTCTGTGGTGACCTGAATAGGAAGGAGATCCCGAAAGGAGGGGATATATGTATATATACAGCCAATTCACTATGCTGTGCAGTAGACACTCACACAACATTGTAAAGTAACTATACTCCAATAATTTTTTTTTTAAATGAGTGTGATAGTGATTGTCCTAAAGCTCAGAGCTAATGTTAAACTCTCATAATTCACACAATTAGAGTTTACCATTTTTCGGTTCTGATTTTCCTTTTATGCTCCATTATTTACTTGTATGTATTTTTGTGGTAAGCAAGGAGAAAACAGGGCATTAGTGAATAAGCAGAACTTTGTTTATAAGCTTCAAGACTAGAAGATCTGTCTGTCAATCAAAACGGGTTTACTGATGATGCCTTCTTACCAGGTTTCATGGTGAGTTAGATTTAAAAATCAGAAAGCATAAATAGCTAACAGAAAATTATAAAGGTAGTCTATGAGAAAGCAGGTGCACTTTGAAAAACAGGAAAGGTTTACCGATCTTTTTCTATGGATTATACCAAAAGAAAATATTACCAAAGAATTTTTTCATCTTTTAGACAAACCTTAAGTAAGCATCATCATCTAATTATTTGTTAGTGTTTACTCAAACTTTAGAAGTTTCCTTAAAATGAGTTCCTTTATATCTTTGAAGAAGCACCTGCTAATTTTAAATTTTTAAAAAAATATTCTGCCTTTTTCAAATTATTTAAAATATCCAGGGAGAGGGGTAATGGAGACACTTTGTCTTTAAGAAGTGGACTGATCTGAATAAGTGTGAAAGAGAAAGACTGAGCAAAAGTGATTCAGGGTCAATGCAACAATGACTAATACGGGATGAGAAGAAAAATGATTTAGAAACTTGACTGCTGCTACTATATATTTTTCTGACTACAGAAATTATCATAGGGTTGGATTAAGACTTAATGAAGATGAGAGAGAGTACATAAAATTGTTTTTCCCATTGCTTCTGTTTTAAAACACAAGAACTATGAAGTAATCATGTGGGTATCAGAAAACAGTTTGAGGCATCCTCTGAGAGCTCTAAGATCTTCAAGAGAGGGCTAAATCAATGAGCTAGCAAGAAAAATCAGTATTCTCATTGCCTCTCAACTCACACAAACTGAAGGAGAAAGTTTCCTTCAGAACATTTAAAGTCTAGGAACAAATGGATGAAGGCCCTAGGCAAGACATGGTATCAATACGAAGCTTTCTCCTAGTAAGAATTTAAAGTCTAGTTTCCCACCCTTTGAGGCTAAGAAAGTGAAGGTTCTCCTGAAATTAAAGAGAAACCAAAGTGTTGTTAAATGGGAATCAATAAATTTGCATTAGGTGAATAATAACATATTTACTCTATATAAAGGTATTGCTGCTGCTGCTGCTGCTGCTAAGTCGCTTCAGTCATATCCGACTCTGTGCTACCCCATAGACGGCAGCCCACCAGGCTCCCCCGTCCCTGGGATTCTCCAGGCAAGAACACTGGAGTGGGGTGCCATTGCCTTCTCTGATATAAAGGTATTAGCATATGTTTAATTTTCACTCTCGTATACAAACCTTGATTTAACTAAAAATAAAAACCACTATAATTTGACTAAATTATTTACACACTTAGATTTGTTTAGGATGAAGTGTAATATGTGCCAGAAAGTGTGCTATTCTGGTTCTTTTAGTTATTGGTGATTGAGGACAACCTGCAGACCCATGAAGAGGCATAAACATTCCCCAGTGGCTTCTGCCTGAATTTCAGCTGAAATACCTAGAAGGCAAAATGAGCTTCTACCAGGCTGCCTGGCTGTCCTGGCCATCCCAAGCCCACTGGGTCAGTTTTTATAGCCTGGTAGTGATGAATCTCTTACCAGCAGGGTTTTTGGACAATTCTGATGAGCTAGTTTTGTGTTCATTGATGGTGTGTGAATTCTCAGTGGACAGTGGTCTTGTAGTTAACACTTCTTTGGGAGAAGAGTGCTCATTAATTGGAAAGGAACCAGAAGTAGTTGGCTGGCTTGTTTCACTTTTTGATGGACTTGGGCTTGAGGCTGATGACTGAAAAGGCAAACCGTTTGTGTACTGGGAAGGCCAAGGGTCATTCCCAACCTCATCTTTGAGCCCTGCACCTTCTGTTCCATTCTTCAGCCTATCGGACTCTAAAACACTAAATTCTCCCACTTCCCGGCTGTGGACCAGCCCTGGACTCTGTGGCAGCTCATCCTTCAAGGCAGAGAATCTCACGTGCTTTAATGGCTCCAGCGAGTTTGAGGAGTTGTCGTCTTCTAAAGAATGCTCCTTCTCAGAAATTCTCTCATGGATGGTTAGGCCCGGGGACACAATTTTGCTTTTGGGTTCAAAGTTCTGATGAAAACGCACAGTTTCTGAGTCTGTGCTACTGGAACTGGAATTGCGTTTCAGGATCCCTCTGGGAGCCCCTCTTGCGTTCAAGGAGTCTGTCCTTTGTCTAGGAAAAGGCTGGTTATCATCTTGCTTTAAGTCCTGGGACTTGTAGAGCATTTTCCTGACTTTGGGGACTGGAGCCTTGATTGGGGACCCATTCTCAGGACCTGAAAGAGTCTGCTTTGGTTTCTCTAACTTTTGGCTTGAAATATCCAGGATAGATGACACTTCTTTGGACTCTGACAACTCCCCTGAAAAGTAAAACATATCAGATGATATGCCAAAGGGAGAGTAACGCATTAAAACACCTACCATAAACTTAATCTACATTTAGCAAAAAATGCTAAAATATTAAAAGATAATAAAGCATGAAGGTTAAGTACAGACCTAATTAAAAACTCTAAAAAAATTCATGCATGAAGTTCACTGAATTTAAGATGGCTATGCTTTATATTCAAACTTTGTGGTATTTTATACTCAATAGAAAAAAAAAATTTTTTAAGACATTTCAGAAACTCCTGGAGGAGAGTAAAGAAAAAATACAAAAGTCACTTGAAAAAATTCATGTATGGAAACCAGAAAAATGAGCTCAATTTTCTAAAAAGAAAATTTCAACACCTAAAATAAAAATTAATTTTGACAAAAAGGTAAAAAAAACAAAACAAAACGGGTAACATGTTCCAGTGACTTCTTTTCTATAAAATATTTTATGCTATATAAAGTGTATCCAATGGAGAGGATAAACTACACTAATATTAAAACAGTATAATTGAAACTCCTAATTCTAGTGTTTAATTGTTAATTTTCTGTGATCTATAGTCCATGGGGGTCACAGAGTTGGACACTATTTAGCAACCGAACAATAACAATTACAAATTAATTTTCTACCCCTTGTCCAGTCTTTAATGCCTGTGGAATCTTCTTAACAGTTGATTTTGAAGAGATTAAATTGTCTAATGTTTCTTCTTAATAGAATGTAAAATGGTAAAATTCTGTAAGAGGCAGACTTCAATCAGTTCAGCAACAAATCTAATCAAACGCTCCTGGGAGACTGAGCTGATAATTACAGATTAGAGGATTGTAACATCATCAAGTGGTCTTGAGGCAAACTCTTCTAATTTTAAACAGAGAACTATGTCTGCACAGTAGACATCCAATAAATAGTGTTCAAGGAATGACTGAAGGCCTCTGGTCAAAAAATTTCCCAGGTCAATGAGGGGGAACCCAAGGAATGGAGGTCACACAAGTGTCACCTCTGAGCCTGGAATGCATGAACTTCTGGTTTCTAAAATTTCTGCTTCCTTTCCTCGGGCAGGAAAATGGTGGATATAGTAGAAAAATAAGAAAACCATCACAATTTTTCACTTTCCCTTGAAAGCTATTTTAGTTAAAGGAACTCTGAGAATTTCCCTTAGTCCACAGATAACAAAGATAAAAATATCTAGCTCAATAAAAATAATATTTACCCTCTTTTGAAGTCTGAAAGAAACCAGTCTTTCCATTTTTTGACTGCTCATTTTTGGTTTGTTGAGATAAGTGATCTTCTGGCAACATGGCGCTATTAAACGGATTCTTCCTTTGCTGGGGAAAAATATTGTTTATTAAATTCATTTTATATGTCATAACAGCAACTCAGTGTCAGCAAATGCTTATTATATGCAATAGTTAATAGTTTTAACCAGTAAACTCTATCTGGCATGTTTGAAAAATGATGGTCCTAGTTAATCCGGTCAGGAAAGAATCACCACATATATGCCATGTCAAAAAAAAAAAAAACAAAAACAGAACAAAACTGTGTAAAATGTACTCAATTCTGGAGTCTTACAAAGTTAAACCAGACCAGGCATTCAAATCTAATCTCACAGAGGTGAGATTTTTACACAGGCAAGAAAACCTGGGCCTTGAACACATCAAAGAGGTGGTCGCAGGTCAGGGTAAACCTGAGGCTCTAATTAGGGCAGATTCACACCAGCGCTCTTTCTAGCATACGAGAAACTCACCGCGATGGGTTAAAGTTGTACTAAAAATAATTGCAACTGACCTTTCCTATAAGGATTTAAAAGGTATCTTGAAGTGCTTCATAGCCACTAATATGATCATTAATTCTAATGTCAGAAAGCATATCAATAAATAGAGTTCTATTTTTCAACTGAAGTATACTTGATTTACAATTTTGTGTTAGTTTCAAGTGTACAGCAAAGTGATTCAGTTACATATATATTTTTCAGATTCTTTTCCCTTATAGGTTATTATAAAATATTGAGTATAGTTCCTTGTGCTATAGGTTATCTATTTTATATATAGTAATATGTATATGTTAATCCTGAACTAAGTTATCCCTACTCCAAGTATTTTTCTTTATGAATATAAGACTGAAAATCAATATTTGCTATCTGTAGTTTCATAAATCGAAAATCCTCTCCCACAAGCAGACTTCTGACAGGGATTCAGGAAGCCATGAATAGGAATAAGGACTGTTATGGAACTAACAAGCCACAGGCCATATGCTTAAAAGCATATGAAGCAGCCCCCAATAGTGTCAGACTTTTTATTCTTTAGGGTAAAAAGTCTAGGTCCACCAAAAGAGTGATTTCCTATGTTAAATAGTAAAAATTATCTATATTTGATGGGAAAAAAGTACTACAAATTCCTCTTTTTTATGGTACTTTGATAAAATAAGAGAATGGCATTCTGGCCCCAAATGAGCTTTTCAAAATCCAAGTTTCAATCTACCTTGGCTGGAGATATAGCTGACTTTCTTGTGTTTTCCTGGGATGCATCAATCATGGTGGACGCTGGATTTACCACGCTGGAACTGCAAAAGAAACAATAATTCAGAGAATAAAACCTTACCCTTTGAGGAAGTGTAAATCATGCCTCTGAAGCCAGAAGCTATTAAGGCAGGATAGGAGAGGAAGTTTGTAAAATCAAACTGCCAGGAAGGAAGAGGGAGTTGGAGTTGAGACATGATTAAGCAGCAAAGCAAAGACAATGTGAAAACAGGTACGAAAGACAGGCCTGAGACAAGGCAAAACCACCCATCAGAAGCCTTGAAGATTTTATCACCATGCCAGGCACATAGCAGGTTCATGGTTGAAATTTGTACAAATAAACTCATCTCAAAGTCGGGACCTCATATCAGATGCAGACACTAGAAAGTGAGCAATTGTTCTCAAGAAGGGAACACCCTTGCTGAAATAAGGCTCCGAAGTGTTTTAGAGATTCTCTGGTCCAGGACTAGAATGGCACTGCTTACTCTAACTCAGGTAGAAAATAGCTAAAGCGGGACTTCCCTGGTGGTCCAGTGGTTAAGAATCCGCCTTGCAATGCAGGAGACATGGGTTCTATCCCTGGTGAAGGAATTAAGCTTCTGGATGCCACAGAGCTACTGAGCCCAGACAGTCCATGCACCGTCACGGAAGATCCCCCCCAATGCAACAAAGATCCTGGGTGCCACAACTAAGATCTGACACAGCCAGATAAATGTTTTAAAAAAGAAAATAGCTGAAGAAAAAACTCAGGTGAGACAAGGGGTTGGGCGATGACAGAGAAGAAACAGCAGACGGAGGTGCTGTGCTGGGAAGATGGTGGACGGGGGCAACTCACGGGGAGCCCTCCCCCAACTCTCCAGGCTGGCCAGGTGAGTTCTCATTCAAATACAAGAGGAGTGAGGCCAGGAGCACAGTCAGAGGATGGCGGGAGGTCAGAAGCCTGCAGCTGGCCCAGAGAGGGGAGGACTGTCCAGACCCTGGTTCCCTAGCCCAGGGGCCAGGCAGTCCTGGGGTGAGAGTGCAGGGACTGTCAGTGGGGAAAAGTTGAGCTGAGCTGGCTCCCTCCTGAACCACCACCCATGGTGACTGAGTAAGTAGGACAAAGAAGGGCACAGTGGCCTTGGAAAGCGAGGAACACCACCTGCTCAGGCTTCCTGCTCCAGCTAAGGAACTGGGGGTGGGCAAGGGGCGCACTTTGCCCCGTGGCCAGAGAGCCTTGCCCAAGATTGCTGTCTCTAAACTCGGGGGCTGGATGTTCTTGCTGCTTAATTTCCTTTCCTTCCCTCTTCCTTCTCTTGGACTGAGGTTTCTATGGAGAGGGAGTCCCAGGAACAGGCTGAACACTTGAGGAAGCCATGCTTCCTTTTGATACCTTCCTCACTGTTGCAGACAGGAATTACAGCAGATGAGGCAGATGCGTGTGGAACACAGTCTGAACACAGGGATGTGAGAACCTGGGGCGGGGGCTGGGTGGGGAGGGAAAAAGCAGGGAACAAGGGTGGGAACTTACAATGCAGCCAGAATTAAGGCTAATATAAAAACTCATGGCAGGCGGCCTCTGCTCTTGCAAGAGGTGAGCACAAACATGAATCAAGTTATCTATCAGCCAACAGGAAAATAGGACCCTGATCACCGACAGAACTCACAGTGAAAGCAGCCCCCAGCTCAGGACTAGAAAGCCATGTCTCTTGAGTGTCACTTTTAAGAAGCCAGCGAGCGATATGAGGAAGCTTGTAGCAGATGCCATGTTCATTTTCTCAGAGTGCTCTGTATCATCTCCCTTAGCTCAGACAGTAACGAATCTGCTTGCAAAGCAGGAGACCCCAGTTTTGATCCCTGGGTCGGGAAGATCCCCTGGAGAAGGGAATGGCCACTCACTCCAGTATTCTGGCCTGGAGAGTCCCATGGACAGAGGAGCCCGGAGGACTACAGTCCGTGGGGTCACAGAGTGTCAGACTCGACTGAGTGACTAGTAAATAAATCAGTCTCATAACTGCAGGGCCTGAGAAAAGGCCGCCCTCCTCTCCTGCCATCTTCCTCCCTTCCCTCTCCCTCCCTGCAAGAACGAAGGACAAGCAGCGTCTCTGCAGCCTCCTCCCTCTGCTCCCTGGAAACCCCACTTCTGCAGCCCCAGCCACCACCCCAACCGCCCGCTGCACATCACGTGGTCCCCGCCTGCCCAGGGATGAAACCAACCTCTCTCTTACCAAACCCTACGCAGCTATGGATTTCATGCAGCCATATGATGAGCGATGCAACCTCACACCATGCCTACGAATCTTCTCTCTCACAGTAACCAGAGAGACCCCTCAAGAGCATCTGGGCCATCTTTCTCTTCCTTGCAACACCGTGTAGAGTGTCTGGGATACAACTGGTGAGTGAGGGGCTGAACAGCTGAAGGCCAAGGGAGCCGGTGCCGGGAAGGCAGCGGCACACGCAGGTGACCGCGGTTTTTTGTTTTTTTTTTCTTTTCAATCTGTGGTTTGCCAAACTACAACGAGGCACATTTTAAACAAGATGTCTTTGTTCCTGCTATTCAGAAAGCAACAGAGAAAGAAATGAGAAAGAAAGAAAGCAACCGAAAGCATGCGTTCGGTGCACATGATCAGACACGGAACTACCAGAAACATACAGTATTCACTGGGTTCTCCGGTGCTTAGGATAAGCAGAAAACGGGATGAGGGTGGGGTACTTAGTTAACTACGGTTCACACATCCGCCTAAGTAGAAAAAATTAAAACGAGAGTTTTATGCCTCAAAATGCTTCTGAAAAATGCAACTACTTCCTCGATTAAGCTCCGGCTTTGTGTCCCCTCAATACAACACAGCAACCATCCTATCCTCAGCTGACCTCTGCAACATCCCTGTGTGGTATGTACCCTCCTCCCCATTTTATTAGCAAGAAAACTGAGGCTTAGAGAGGTTAAGTTAGCGAAAGAGCTGGGAATGTGAACCAGGCGCCTGACCCTGACTCCAGAGACAGGCATTGGAAGGCTGGGCTCCACTCCACTGATTCCTCAAATTAGTAAAGCCGTGGTTTACGGCAAGAGGGCTGGAATGAAGACGGGGTGATTCTAACTTCCCGGTGACTCTCACATCTGTTGCTTCCTTTCCACCCCTCCTGACTCCTCCCTGTCATCTGTATGAGCCTCACATTCGACCTCCGGACACCGAAGTTCCACTCTCCTCATCCTTTCGGCATTCCACTTCTAAGCTAGAATGGTCTGAAACAAGACTGGTCACATCCCTCTCTTGCTCGTTACCTTTCTGGGATCCCCAGGAAGGAACCATCAGCACCCTGTACCCTCCCACCCCTCCTGCCCACTGACCTTCATGCCAAACCTGGCTCCCTGCCCCTCTCTGCGGTCCCCGCCAACCCCCCCCCACCCCAAACATTGGCTCTGCTTTCTTCACCCACATGCTCTCTCTCACCGCCAAGCCCGGTCCAAATCTCACCTCCCTTGTGGCGCTGCTTGCCTATCAGCCTGACTGCAGTGGGTCTCATTGTCTCAAATCTTATCGCACATTTTATTGGTACTTGGAACTGAGATTTGCTCCCTGCCTGGTTCTATTTGAAATCAGGTGGTTAAATATTCATAAAGGGAAGCATTATTTTTCCTAAGAGGACACAGTCTCTCCATAGCCACGTACTGTGTCTTTTGTTTCTTACAAGCCCTCTCAAAGGGATGATTTCTATTCTTAGGGCGTGTCCTATATAATATAACACTGAATACCTTCTACATGATGCGTTCTTAACACTATACAGCAAGCCAAAGCTCACACCTTGAGCTCTGTGATTTCTGACCTCAGGCACCCATCAAAAACCACGTGCCATACTAGACATGCACGCGTGCATGCTCAGCTGTGTCTGACTCTGCAACCCCATGGACTGTAGCCACCAAGTTCCTCTGTCCATGGAATTTTCCAGGCAAGAATACTAGAGTGGGTCGCCATGTCCTTGACCCAGGGGCCAAACTCGCATCTCTTGTACCTCCTGCATTGGCAGGCAGATTCTTTTCACACTGTGCCACCTGGGATGCCTCAATACTAGATACAGCACTTAGCCAAAAGTGGTTTACTTCTGTAAGAAGAGTATTAAACTATTAGACTATGATTGTTGTTATACTTTGGCTCTGAAAAGTATCTGCATTTTAACACAAGTCTTTGAAGACTTAAAAGAAGAAGAATATTAGGTACTCTGGTCGGGACCCATGGGGAAGAAGGCCTTCACAGCAGTCTTAGAACTACACCACCTGGGCAGTGAGATAGCCCATCTGCTTCTACATCCAGCCGTAAAGGACTTCCAAGCACATGCAACAACTTTTAAAGCTTTTGAACCTTAACCAGCCTTTCCCTCTAGAGTAGTTAAAAATGAATTCCCTGGCAGCCCAGGGGTTAGGACTCTGCGCTCCACTGTGGGGTGCATAGGTTTAATCCCTGGTCAGGGAACTAAGATCCCACAGGCTGCGTGGTTTAAACAAAAAAAAAAAAAGTAAGTAAAGCAGTTAAAAATAACAATGGACATACTCTCTTCTGAGGTACGTTTCAGAATAAATATTAACTGTGTCTGGACTCGGAAGCAAATTTTTCAAGTGATTTTTCTCCCCGTGTTTCTTGCTGTTGCTGATTTCTCCCTTCGAATTGTGAATTCCTTAGATGTTAATGCCGTGCCTGGCACCCAGTATTGTGCTAACACGTGTTACACTCAATGAGGCTTGAACACATGAAGAAAAACACATGAAGAAATGGGTCAGGGCTTGAGTGAAGCAGATTCATAAATATACTATGCCAGCCTTTCGAGTATTTTTTTTAAAGTAAGATATTACTTCTCTAGTTCTATCCCAGTTCATGCTACAGATTTATTTAACATAAACACTTCCATCCATCCATAAGGCACACTGATGTCAGAGTGAAACTATCCCTCATGACTAATTTGGGTATATCTAAGATTCTGTAGGATTAGCAGGATTCTTTTAAAAGCTCAATATGAGTGATTCTGTAGGGCAGGCCTCCAAGAAATGAAACATTCACATCCCTGGATTTGC